CCTTCAATCCAGTCATGACATCTTTAAATATCTCACATTTACTAGCAGAAGGACCTATCGATAGGTAAATATAGCAAATAAAAGTGATAATAATTAAAAACAGCAGCAAAATATACTCACTTTTCAGTAACATCCTCATTCTTGGACACCAACCAAGTAGTTGACATATTTCAGTTGAATTAGACTATAAAGCACATGTGCATGTACAAAAACATGTAATACTACAGTAGCAATATAAAGTGTGAATTACAAAATCAGATTCCAAGAGTTCCCAAATTTTAGGGAAGTAATCACCAACTATCCCAATACACTAGAAACAAACAGTAAAAGGGTGAGAGATGTGGATAGTCTTACATCAGGTTTAAATACTCCAAGAAAAGTGCAAAATTGATCAATTAGTTCCTTCACTTCACCCTATTTTGATAAACTACAGCATCCAAAGATGATCATATTAAAAGATGTACCTCTGTTTTGTTAGCTTTAAGAAAAGCATCAAGGTCTTTTATGAATAATTTGCAGTGATCACAATCTAAATCTTGAGGTTTCATGATACTCTAAGAATTAAAAATCAATCACTAAACTGAAAGACAGAACTTCAAAAATTTGAAACAACTTTAAAACAATTTCTAACAATAATCCAATTTTGATTGGAGTCATCTACCATAGCACAGGAACATATGCAGTCCCACACTAGTACATGTATCAATCTGCAGCAGAAAACATTAAGAACTCTAGCTCTTTGTTAATTTTGGGAAAATACCTTGTACTACTATAGTCCAACACTGTTTTTAGAAGACTTAAATGTCATTTAGGTACAACTAATTTGATCCAAAATCTTTTGTTTAATGTCCATTTGATGTCAGAGTTGCTATTAAACTTATGAGCACAAGGCAAAATAATGGCTTCCATTTTAAAATCAGAATCGATCCTACTTATATATGTACATGCCAATGACAAAGGATTAAATTCATTAATAATAATTAATAATAATTATTACTAATACATGTATGGGTTGAGACAATAAGACAAGACACAACTATATTATAATAATCAGCTAGCTAGCTCAAAAAGTCACTGCTGCTGTTAAATATTTATAATATTAATAATTAGCAAAAAATAAAGTTTATACAAGACATGTGACAGCAGTTAGGAACATAAGGTAATGGCCTAAGGAAAATTGGAAGGAAAAAGAGAGAAAATTTGATGTAATTATTGTACTGGTACAGTAAATGTAATGACCAGCAGTGTGTCTGGAGGTGTGTGTGTATCAGTAATGTAATACCTGAGGACTGAGATATCTGCTTGAGGTGAAGCTGAGGGCAGATATCAAGGGACTCAGGTATTACATTACTGATACTCACCTCCAGACACACACACCCACTGGTCATTATTATAAGGTAAATATGTACCTTGCAAATTGCTTGAGGATTAATGGCATCATCAAGAAGTTTAATAATCTCAGGCCCATACTCAACTACTATATCAGAACACTATAAGACAATAGAATGTCCATAAGATGATTAGTGAGTAAACTCTTACTTCACTTGCTACATCAGAAGGAAAGAGCTTACAAGCATCTTTCAATCCATCAACAGTTAACTTAGACTAGAAGGGATATATCAATTATTGACACTACAAGATAAAGGTGATACTAACAGTTAGTGGTAGTACATCCTTCAATCCAGTCATGACATCTTCACATATCTCACATTTACTAGCAGAAGGACCTATTGATACACATTTGAATTGATAAATATAATAAATATTATTATAATACTTACTTTTCACTAATTTCCTCATTTTAGGGCAAAGATCAAGTAGCTGACATATCTCAGTTGTATTTTTCTACAATAATGTACATGTAACATGAAACATACAAGAATAAATGAATATATAATTATACTATACCAATTCTGTTTCCAGTAGGATCCAAATAAATGGCAAGTATTGATCAACAAGTTGAGTACACTAAAATGAGAGAGAGGGAGAGAGGAAGAGAGAGAAGGAAAGAAGAACATAAGAACAAGTAAAAGTGTCTTACTTCAGCTTTGGCTTGTCCAAGAAGATTGCAGAAATCATCAAGATACTCTTTTATTTCTGCCTATTAACGTATAGATAAATTAATATCAATATTAATAATAAACAAAGCTACAATGTATGTTACTAAATATAGTTCACGTGTGTGTATAGTTCATGTGTGTGTACCTGTTACTAAATATAGTTCATGTGTACCTGTGATCCATTGGCTTTAAGGAATGTATCAATATACTGCATTATCAGCTTGCACTCATCACAAGTGGCATCTTCAGGTTTCTTGACACTCTAAATAATGCACAACATAAGTACATGTATGCACGTATCTAAAAATGGAGAATTCTCTTCTTTTCATTTTTGGCAAAATTTGGCCCAAGACCATGTACTACTACTATAGTACAGGGACTTTGGCCGCAACTTTTAAAATCTTTAAAAATCCAATTTTGATTGAGACTTTCTACATAACATGAGTACATGTATATGCATCAGATACAATTATAATATTAGTAATTACCCTTTTTGTCTTATTGGGCCCAGGACACAAGTCAATCTGATTACAAAGATAGCCATTATCCTAAAATGTAATAAATAATAATAATAATAATAATAATAATAATAATAATAATAATAATAATAATAATAATAAAATAATAATAATAACAATAATAAAATAGGCACTGACCACATCGTCTTTAACTAAATCCCAAATTGTATCATAATCTTTGTTGACTGTTTGGACACACTAATAAAACATGATAGTAAATATAAGACACGTGTGTGACTTGTAAATGTGATTGACAATCACCTCATAATGATAGTATTCAAATTGATCACAGAACTTCATTAAATCAGCTCTAACTTCTTCCTACAAGAAAAGGTTTACAATAATAATAATAATAATAATAATAATAATAATAATAATGATAATGATAATAATAATAATATCATTATTGTACTTTAGTTCCATTCTTATCCATTTCAGTCTTAATATAACCAGCAATAATTTTACAAACATCACATGCTGCATCCTACGAAACGAGAAGAAAAAGAGTTGATAATACCTGATTGTGATTCATCGCCTTCCATTTTGTTTTAGTTGGCCACTCCCACATAATAATAATAATGCGTTATTAATAACAATTAATAGTTACATTTTTAACAGGTTTCTTCTGGAGCACTGCAGTAGTGTTACAAAGACCAATCATTTGACAAATCTGTCCACTGTCCTATTGGTTATTAATTAATTAATTAATTAGTGATTAATTAATTAACTGACCACTTCTTCTTTAATTAACTTCCAAATTTGATCAAAGTAACTATCCACTAATGTTGTACACTATAAATAATAATAATAAACAACTAACAGTTAATGAATTAATTAATAAGTGATTAACCTGTCCTGAAATTGTGCTGGGAAGGAGGCTACAGAGATGTTCTAACTCTTGTTTAACTTCTTGCTACATGCAATTACAATAACAACAACAATAATATTAATAATAATAACAACAATAATGATATATACCTCAGTGCTGTTACTATCAACCGTGGTCTTTAAATAAGCTAAGAGTAACTTACATATATCACAAGCACTTTGCTAGAGAGAGAGAGAGAGAGAGAGAGAGAGAGAGAGAGAGGGAGGGAGGGAGGGAGGGAGGGAGAGAGCACAGTATGATATTAGAAGTACATGTGAGATAAAATGGTGGCTATACTTTAAGAGGTGGCCTTGGGCTAGCTTTCACTGACAGGATCATGAACTGTCGCCTGACAGATGAACAAAGATCCAGTTTGTGACATATCACAGAAGCATTGCCCTAATGGGGAGGAGAAGGGAGAGAGAAATGATGCATAAAGAATAAATAAATAAATAAATGAATATAATATAATATTACCAGTTTGTTTTCAACGTAATTCCAAATTTCATCAAAATATTTATCAACAATAAAAGTACACTAAAAATAAGAAAAAAAGTAAACTCATAATAATAACTAATAATTAATAATAATAATAATAATAATAACAACAACAACAATAATAATAATAATGATAATAACAACAACAATAATAATAATAATAATAACTGATTAATAATTAACTTACTATTATATCTGCCGGTCCAAGTGCCTTACATAAAGTAGACAGAGCTTCCTTTGCTATTTCCTATACACACATATTAAACACATTACATATACATTATACTGGTAATATAATACCTCGGTGGCACTGTTCTCCACTACCTCAACAACCTTCTCACAAATTTCACATTTATCCTCTTTAAACTCAACGGATCGCTGAGAGAGAGAGAGAGAGGGAGAGAGAAGGGGAGGGCTTACATTAGCTTACATTTTAATAATGAAATACTTTAGTTTTAGTGACTGCCACTTCAGTTGGTGGACAGTAATTAATACCTTCACACAAACTCTCAGGAGACTGCAGTGAGGGGTACATTACAAGTCAATATATTATTAATAATAGTTAATTAACTAACCAATGCTGAAGATTTAAGTGCATCTGCAACAATGACTGAAATAGTAGCATTTACCAAACTCTTACACTAAAAATAATAATATTAATGAAAAGTTAATAACTACTAATAACTATTAATAACTTACCTGTTGCTTTTCTTCAGCGGATGGGAGGTGGTCACAATAAGGATCAACAGCTGCAGTGAGCTTATTCTATTAATTAAAGTGGGCAGGTACATTACATTTATTATTATTATTATTATTCTTACAGTGATGGTAGTTGGATCAGCAAATTCCTTAAGGAGCAGCTTAACTGTTCCTTTACAAATCTCACACTTGTACTTACTGATGATACCTCTCCTTGACCTGCCGGAAGCTTCAGTACAACCCGACATGAACTGGTCACAGAAAGCAGCTGGAGATGACTAAGAGGGGAATGGAGAGAGAATCATATACATGTACATGTACATCACCTAATTTATATTGCATTATTATTATTATTATTATTATTATTATTATTATTATTATTATTATTGTACTGTAGCACTTACAGTTCCTTTGGTTATTGCGTCCCAAATTTGGTTAAAGTGAGAATTAACAAATGAATCACACTAGATGATAATATTAATAATTAATTGAAGCCCCGCCCATTCCTCACCTCAGTTGTAATTGGCTTCAGAACATCCTTGCACATCTTATACATTGCAGCCTTAGCGTCATCCTAAATAGGGCGTGGTCAAAAATAGCCACACCCACCAACCCAACCCACTTTTGTTGACTGTTTCTTGAGGACGGCAATCACTTGTTTAGCAATGACCTCGCAAACATCACATTTTATTGACGAGGATAAGGTGGGAGTGGCTTCCAGTGCAGCTGTCAATTGTACTGTTTTTTGTGATTTTGAAGAGCAGGCACCAACTTCAGAACAAATATCGTCAGGACTCTGAGGGGAAAGGGTTAATAAATAATGTCATCATTGCCTGTGATACTTACAGCTTGGTTCACTACCAGTCGCCATATCGTGTCAAAGTTATCGTCAATCAAAGTTTTACACTAACAAAAATAATAATAATAGTAAAATTAATTAATAATAATAATAATAAAATTAATTAATAATACTTACTTCACTTTCAAGTGATCCCAAAAGTTTACAAAAATCTTCAACAGCACTTTTAGCATCCTCCTATTAATAATCATTGTAATAATAAAGGATAATATGGTATATACAATATATTGTATACTGTACTTCAGTGGTGTTCTTCGCTAACAACTGATCCAAAAACCCAACTACAATCTTACAAGCTTCACATTCAAATCCGCTAGCTGAAAGAGACAGAACCTTCTTACTGGAGCAAAGACTTATCGTAGAACACACTGTATCAGGATCCTGAGAGAGAGAGAGGGAGTGATATCGAAGACAATAATTATTTAAATACTTACCGCATTATTTACTAACAGCTGCCATATTTGATCAAAATAACTATCAATCAAAGTTTTGCACTATAAAAATAATAAATACATGTAAGTAAAAAATTAATAAATAAATGAATAAATAAATAATAACCAACCTCAGAAGACAGTGATCCAGCAAGATCACACAATTTTTCAACGGCATCTTTTGCTTCTTGCTAATAAAAACATCATATCATTTCATAATGTGGACTGATTACTTCTGTGGCACTCTTCTTTAACTGTTGATCCACATATCCAACAACAATTTTACAAGCTTCACATTCAATTTCATTTTTTGGCGATGATGAGACAGCAGCAGGTGTTGCAGCAAGAACCTTCTTACTGGAGCAGAGACTTATCATTGAACATACTGTATCGGGATCCTGAGAGAGAGAGAGAGAGAGAGAGAGAGTGATGTAAATGTACGATATTTAAATACATGTACTTACGGCATTATTCACTAACAGCTGCCATATTTGATCAAAATTACTATCAATCAAACTTTTGCACTATAAAATAATAAATAAAATAAAATAAATAAATAATAACCAACCTCAGAAGACAGTGATCCAGTAAGATCACACAATTTTTCAACAGCATCTTTTGCTTCTTGCTAATAAAAACATCATATCATTTCATAATGAGAACTGATTACTTCTGTTGCATTCTTCTCTAACTGTTGATCCACATATCCAACAACAAGTTTACAAGCTTCACATTCAATTTCATTTTTTGGAGAAGAGACGGTAGTTTTGTACAAATCTATTAGCTTCTTTTGATTACCAACTGGAGCCTGTAGAGGGGAGAGAGAGGAAGAGGGAGGGGAGAAAGGGGGAGAGGGAGGGGGGAGGGAAGAGAGGGAGGTCAAATGAAAAGAAAAGAGACAAAACTTACTCCATGAACAAGAATGGCTGAACCAATTTTATCCTAGAAAAGAGAGAGAGAGAGGGAGAAAACACAGTAAGTTTATACTCTTGTACATAAAACAACACTTTGTTTTTAAAATAAACATTACTCAAGCTGGATACAATTACTTCCACCCACCCCCATAAACACACGTAGCCAGCAACACTCACATATATGGCACATGATCAGGCCAGGAGAGCAACCATGCTAATATTTATGGTCACATGGTCACTACCATACAAGTCCATGTGCTTAAAACCAATGAATATTATTATATATTGCTGGTTTTTCTCTGTGTGTGCATGTGTACAGCATGAGGGAAGTACGTGAAGTAGTTATACTAACACTGCATATTCTGCCAGAAGAATTGAAAATGATTAAATAAGATTGTATTAACAGATTATCATCATCATCATCATTATTATTATTATTATTATTGCTATCGGTATAGATTCAACATCATAGACTGTTAGATGTACAGGTTAGTTCATATTATTAATTCATTATTCTCTTACCGTCCAGACTTTATCCTTGCAGTATTTAACTTGTTGGCACTTGTTAGCGTTTTCACGTGAGAGGCACCAGTAAGATGGACCCCAACTGCAATTATCAACAGCAACACTGGACACACCTTAGGGGGAAGAAGAATGCAATGAAGGAAGAGAGAGAGAGAGAGGGGGGAAGTTAAAATTGAGGAGAGAAAGAGAGGAGAAGAAACAAAGGTGAGGAGAAAGCTAAATTCAATAGATAAACATTCAAAAATGGTATTTTGTAAGTTTTTGGCAGTTTCGTGAAGTGATAAGCGTTAGCGAGTTGTAGACACGTTGTATCTTACCAGCTAAGAGCGTGGCGGCCAACAGGACACAGAAAACCTTCATACCTCTATAGACTACAGAAGAGAAAGGTTTAGGAGAAATAGGCTGATCTAACAGACTGACTCAACTGGAGAAAGACAACTGACCTAGGCTTACTCGGCTCGCCTTATCAACAGTTCAACACTTGAACAGTGAACACTAAGTGGTCACGTGATCCAGTGATTGTCTGATCCAGTTATTTCCTTCCATTACTAGTATCAGACTATCAGTAATATCACATGACATCCATCATCAGTGGCCCCTGATACAAACACACACATCCATCAGCAGTTGATCCTGATACAAACACACACTGCACACTAACTGATCCATTGGTATAGGTATTGTTACTGTATAGACCAATGACCTGATATGTTTTTTACAGGAAACTTGAGGAAAGTATCTCAATTGTCCTGTTTCATGTGCTAGGTTATAGTATCCTAATCTCATTATATTGAGATTGAAAGATTGCAACACAAGTTTCTGCAAGAGAACCATTAGTAAAAGTTGAGGAGTAAAAGAGAAGTTAAAGGAAACTTAAAAATACCCTAGTGTAGTGTCCTGAAACATCTGCTAGACAGTAAATCTATTGTTTAAATGTATGATTACTAGTAATTTGAAACTAGCCAATCTAACATCAATTATATCATCAACAGATCAAACTAAGCAAACATAAAGTAATCACAATATTATTATAACAGTGCTGCTATCTATTAATATCAATGTGTTGTTTTTATTGCTGCGGAGGTTTCCATGACTGTATCTTAGGTCTTGTGGTGCTGTACGGCACGTACTCACCACGGGTACCAGTTTTATTGACCGTCGGATCGAGATAGAACTTTCTGGGAGGGGGCGGGTCTTCAATGGGGGTGTGGTCGGTCATGGAGTGCAACCAACGATGCCTTATAAGGGAAGTGAGGAGAAACAAGACAATAATAATAATAATATTTTCAATATTAAATATATTTACCATTCTGGAGGAATCTGGGTAATGTCAAATCCACTTGCCTCTTTGTAGACCCACCTGTGCCGACCTGAGAGAGAGAGAGGGAGAGAGAGAGGGAGAGAGAGAGAGAGAGAGAGAGAGAGAGGGAGAGAGAGAGGGAGAGAGAGAGAGAGAGAGAGAGAGAGAGAGAGAGAGAGAGAGAGAAAGAGAAGAATTAAGAACATGTACATGTACATACAATAAGGTTTCTGGTTTACATTTAATGTACAAATGTACATGTACGACAGATGGTAATTACAGGTACGTGTCATCTCAGAGTGAAAATTTGTCTACTTTATAAAGATATTAAATAACCAAACCATTATGTTCAATGGAACTGATTCTCCCAACTAAAACTGGCCATTTATCTACAACTACAAACCAACTTAAAAATTACCCACTACACATGTACGATAATTATACCGTACGTGTACATGTACATGTACTTGTACATGTACATGTGCATGTAGAGCATGACAGTTTAAAGATGAAAAAAACAAGTTCAAGTTTATCAAAATGTATCCCCAGGAGACACAGCAAAATGATTGCGATAAAGACACTTTCACTTTAATTATGAGCAGAAATAATAAATAATATATCCCTGACGTGATAACATTACAAGGAAGAGCATAAGTACATGTATATGCATCAGGAAATGTAATAAAAATGGAGAATTCTCTCCTTTTCATTTTTGGTAAAATTTGGCCCAAGACCATGTACTATAGTACAGGGACTTTTACCGGAATTTGGAGTAACTTTAAAAATTCGTAAAAAAATTAATTTTAATCGAAATCAGCTCAAACTTTCTACACAACATAAGAACATGTATATGCATCAGGAAATGTAATAAAAATGGAGAATTCTCTTCTTTTCATTTTTGGTAAAATCTGGCCCGAGACCATGTACTATAGTACAGGGACTTTTACCCGAATTTAGAAAAACTTTAAAAATTCATAAAAAATCTAATTTTAATTGGAATCAGCTCAAACTTTCTACACAACATAAGTACATGTATATGCATCAGGAAATGTAATAAAAATGAAGAATTCTCTCCTTTTCAATTTTGGCAAAATACCCTGGCCCAAATGACCTTTACAATTACCTTCATTTAATTCCCATATACAAACACGCAATTCATTTTAAATAAAATGAATTAATCTCTCACTTACCAAAGAAATGTTCTTTATTTTCATAATAAACATGACCAAATTTGTCCTGTCCTACAATTGTTCCTATTCTAATATCTCTCAATCTTATAATAGAACAATATCACAATGCATTATAATCATCACTCTACCTCAGGAGCATCCAGAAGGCTTTCCTAAACCCTCCAACTTCATTTATTCTCTTCCAAACTCTCATAATAGTCGCCATCTTTGTTGCTAGGGCGTGGTCAATTTATAAAGGCGTGGTTTCTCCACCCACTGAGTTTTCCCGGTAAATCATAAATCAAATTAGCAAGCCACCAAAATGATTCTATGCATAAACATTTTCTTTGATGCGGTATTGCACTTATTTGTTTAAAAATAACTCATAGTAATTGCTGCATTCCTCGTATCATTCACGCTCAACTCAATTATAAACTGCAGCAGTGTACAGCAAGATACTGTAAAATGGCCACAAAAGATCTGACACTCTTTACTGCAGTTGTGGGAGTAGGGACAGTAATACTAGTAGTGAGCCAGCTATCTAATACTCATGAAACTACAGGTTAGTAAATCTGAATTAATATCTTCTACTCTCTTTCTCTCCCATTCTCTCCTCTAAATTCTTTAGATACTTTAAAAAATGACATCATCACTCAATGTACCGTTGCCAATAGAACTACCACTAATTTTAGTAAGTGATGGTGGTATAATAAGCACTTTGATATTATAATCTACATAATGATAACAATACACTCTATGATATCATATAGATTCATGTGAGGCTGACTGTGAGAAAGAGCAGGGCCAGTGTAGAGTACTGGTTAGTCTCTCCATCGTTCTATTGGTTACGCTGATACTGTCACTCATAATCCATTGTTACAACTTTAGGAAACCCCTTATTAAATACCGTACACTGTACATCATTAAAACCAGCACTGATCCTGAGCTGTATTACAAGATTAAATCAAACGGAAAGAGCAACGAGGAGGAGAGTTTTGGCAACACTATTTGCAGGTGGACAAAAAGTCAAGATACAGATACGCAGGAGGTTGTTCTTTCATTCAAAAATGAAAATTAAACTCATTCAAAATGAACAAAAATACTCTAATCATAATTTATAGTTTTTAAATCTCATTGTTCATGCATTCCTGCAGCCAGTCTTTAGTAAGCATTAATGATACACTCTCATTCCTAGCCTTGTCTAAAATATCAGAATAATTGGAGACTTTTTCCTCCAGAGGTTGTGGGTTTTGTCTCTTGGAACAAGCCTCAACATAACAACTTTGCAGATTCAAAAATCCAAAAACCTTCTCCATGGCTTCGTCTCTGTTTGAGACGATCTCCTCAAACGAGATGAATAATATTTTATTTGAAATAGAGGAAAATAACTCACTCACGCTCTTCTTCCACCGGTCTCTTTCTACCAGACGATACTCATGAAATTCCTCCCAGTCAACTTCAAGTGAGCAAGAATTGACTGTGTCCTCAGAAAACCATATCCCGTTTCTCTCAGCAATTTTCAAAGACACAAATGTCTCTAGTATGTTCTCCCTGTAGAGTACAATAACTGGGGGGCTACACAGAGCTTTTGTGATTTGAGAAAGAGGGAGGCTGCAATACTCCAGCTGCTCGTTAAAAAGTTTAAAACCAGTCCACGGCTTGAATGGATTGAGAGGAAGAAGTTGAGATAATAAATAACGAACAAGGGGCACCCCCTTTCCACCAGACCCGCCAACACTGATACGATAGTTACGGAGTTCTTCCCGATTGAGTAACTCACTGTGACACTTTATTGAGTGATGGTAATTGAGATATTGGACCAAAAGCGTTGAGCCTGATCGCCCCGAACTAAGGATCATGAAACTTTTATTGAAGTAAGGCAGTCGAAGGTAGAGTGCTTTGATGATGGACTTTATCCACAATGTGAAGACCAAGAATACACCCATTGAAACCCAATGACCTTATAAGGAATAATGAGTGTTATAGCATCAAATGCACTCTCAGCAGTTTGGCTATGATGGGTTGGGTTTCTATAATAATTATTACAAAAATTAACTATGCACACTAGTAAGTAAAACAGCATATTAATAATAATATTAATAATAATAATAATAATACTAAAGGTATTAATCAAATTTTAGTGGTCGACTAATTGGCCAGCCTTTGCTAGTATGATACACGTAAAAATTAACTCTCTCATTCTCAACCCTCTTGTTAAAATAAAGAGCAATCTCAGCATTTTCTGAGCAAGGGGTTGAGTCAAATATATCCTTCCCATAAATCTTCCAGAGAGGAACATCAAGATGATGAGAGAGAACAAAGGAAAGCCAGTAATCATCTACCAGTGCAGTGTCAGGACTAGGCATGGGATAAGTACTAGCTTCAATCAGTAGCTTACGAGGAATGAAGCAATTATCAGCATGGACAAAATGAATCTAAAAAAGGATTAAAATTATAAAAAATTTATCATATTTTATAACTACAGACCTGTCTGTCAGGTTTACTCTCATCGTAAAACCTCAGGTGCTCGTAGGTCTCCCAAAAAACCTTTGGGTTCTCAACGTTGACCTCGTGAGGAGCAAACACGTGTCCCCTACAGCAGAGGATGGCCTTTGGTCCGTATTCTTTATACTTGGAAGTGAATGTTGATACGTAGTTTGGACGTGGTATAACGTCATCGTCACAGATTAGTAAGAACTCACTTCGCATCAAGTGAGCTACGGCTAAACGAACTATGCAGTAATAGTTCTCTGAAGACTGGATGAGTCGTATGTCCATCTTGGACCTAAATTTGGAGACAATTTGTGACAGCTCGCTCTGTGTCTCGGGGTTATTGTTCCAAAGAATTATCTCAAAATTCCCTTCAAAATCCTGCCCCTTGAAAGCCTCCAGTATCTTTTGGATGTTATACACTCTTTTGTAGGAACAGATGATGACCGTCAGGTCGTATTGTGGAAAAGAGGTCTGAGTTGGGTCCTTGGCTTCTGACGGAGGGAGTGGAAGAGATCTGTATATGGAGGTATTGCTGAAACTGCGTATAAATTGATCTCCACTTAATTTTGATTTAATTGGAAGAGATTGGAGGTACTCAGTGCCATATTTCAACTTGGCATCATCAGCTAGAATATCTGTCGCTTCTTGAAGAGAATCGTAAAAAAGTGGATACTCCTTCCCAAGGTACTCCTCTATCCCCGGTAACCGGTTGATGACCAGTGGAGTGTTCCTACTTAGGCACTCGATGACGGTGGTATTAGCTGGTGCATCAAAGAGACTGAGGAATACAACACTAGAGCTAAGCCATTCATCATAGACCTCATTACTCAGCCTCTCTTCTATGACCTCAACGGAATCATTGGTTGCAAGTTTGAGCGGGTTCATGCTACAGTCACGAAGTCTATCAAACCGGACTCCCTCAGACTTTACAAGTATCTTCCTAAGACCTTTTCCTTCTGGTAGGACCAGATCATAAAAATCTTGAAATTTTCTTAGAAACTCGCCAATAAATATGACCTTCCCGTCAAACTTTGACCACTCGAACATTTTGCTATCCGGAAATGGAGTAAAAGGGTAGAGTACCTCAGCTACTGGTACTATTCCTTTCAAGTGTTGGAGCAGAAAATCCTTCACAACACAAGACAGAACAAAAATGCCGCGACAGTAAGGAAGAGAGTGAAGGAAGTGCTCATCCTCTACCAATCTCTCCAGGTCAGGATAATAAAAATAATTATTCCTAGGGACCTGGTGTATGAATCCAATCCATGGCTCACTGATAATCTTCTCATCACTGATCCATTCTTCAACTGCACTGATGAGAAGAGTACCACCATCTTTAGCTACAAGACTATCATTCATTAGCTGGAGGACATAGCTCCATCCTCCCCGATGATGGGTCCACTGTGTAGGCTCAACCTCTAGTTTTATCTTTCTTTGGAAAGAGAGAGACTCTTTGTTCTTGGCAGCCAAAGCATCCATAGTAGTCTATAGAAAGGTAATTGTTAACACACCAAACCATACAATGATAACAATGTTAAGTGTTTCTCTGTTTGATATAGTCATGCAGTCAGACAGACAGATTGACCTCTTGGCCTGCCGGAGAGACATGTGACCACTTAAACTAGTCAAACTAGTTTTGAGACTGGTTTTCTTATCAAAATCTCCCCTGGGACTTTCCACCTTCTGTTTTTATGGGAATTATGATAACATAACAGAGGTGAGAGAGAGTGAGAATCAGAGAACTATAGAGAATAATCAGAGTTTCACCCCTCCAATGATGAACCCACTGGCTATTGATGAGCTCCCAAAGTACCTGAGGGATAAAATACCTCCAGAAGAGCCTCAGAAACCTCCCAATGGATACATAATCCCAGTCTCGTTTCCATACATATCTCCAAGATCAAAGGAGAGGGTCCTTCAAGCAATAGAAGAGGCAACAATATCCTCAGCTACATCAGTGGTGGGTGAACTGGAGGAAGCAATATCTCAGTTCTATAAGGTACCGTTTGTCAAGGCCTGTAGCAGTGGGTATTCTGCTCTCGTCCTTGCACTGAAACTGGCCAATATAAAGAAAGGAGACTCAGTTCTCGTTCCTTCTTTCACAATGGCTGCAGTAAGCAATGCTGTGACTACAGTTGGAGCTCGTCCAGTATTTGTGGACTGTGAAGAGGGACAGTTCAATCCTTCAGCTGCTGAATATCAGGTATCTCTTACAAACGACTGCAAGGCACTCATTGTGACACACACATACGGTATACCAGCTGATATAGAGCCCTTGGTATCATTTGCAGATGACAATGGCCTTGTACTAATAGAGGATATAGCAGAGGCTATTGGCACAGACTACAAGGGGAAGTACGTGGGTACATTTGGGGACTTTGCAACTGCAAGTCTTTATGCTAATAAAACCATAACCTCTGGAGATGGTGGCTTCGTAATGAGCACAAAAGAAGATAAGAGTCTGCGACATAGAGCCAATTCTTATGCTAATCATGGCTTCACCCCCAAACACCACTTCCTTCACTTTGAACACTCGGGGAACTACAAGATGTCTGGTCTACAGGCAGCACTTGTACTACCGGCTATTGACGACATACCAACTGTCATGGAAGATAGGAAAAGGATCTCAGCCACTTATCGAGAGAATTTGGATAAAACCCAGGGACTCTCGTTGATGCCTTTGAATCCTAGCGGTAAAGAAGCTCCTTGGATGTTTGGGGTGTTGGTTGAAAGCAGGGAGAAGAGGAGAGAGGTGAGAGAGAAGCTGGCCAGAGACGGGATAGAGACTCGTGACTTCTTCTTTCCACTGCACCTCCAACCAATGGCAGTGGACATGGAGAATGAGACAGTTTCTCCTCCTTCCCTTCCTCAGGCTGAGTCCCTCGGTCTAAGAGGGTTCTATCTTCCTACGTACTACGGACTGGGAACTGATGACATCGTGTATGTCAGCAATAAGCTAAAGATGGCACTGAGAGATGCTGAATGAACAACTCCTAATAGTCATTAAAATGACTCTAATGCTGATTAAGGATGATTTTTTTTCTTAATAATAATGTTGTTGATAATGATAGCTTGTTTTTCTCTTTTGGGTATTAATTCCACTCTTAAATTTTAACATTTTTAAGGGGACCCTGATTTAGCAAAATGGAATATCAGTGAAAATGAAAGAAAATCAATGGTAAAACCCCCTTTCACTAGCATAACACTACTCAAGAAGCCCAATCTATACATTTAAGAGCAGAACACTTAATAGGATCGCCCTATCTACTGTTATCTTGTTACAGATCTTGCCTATCTTATGTGCTTGTTTAGACAAGTACATAATAACTATTATTAACAGTTGGTTGTTGTAAATTGCTCAAAGATTGGCAGCTATTAAGAAATGGCATCCAACGCCATTAATCACAAATTGGACTGGAACTATAGTAATCAGAAAACTATAGACTGAGGAGTATCAATGAGTGTAGAACATGTCTGCCAAGAAGTCTCTTTCATAATTTATTATAAAGAAAAATAACAATTTAATTAACATTATATATATCAATGATGATTCCTTCTCTCCATCAACTAACAACTGCTAGTGAAACTGCTCAGAAACAGTTAGAAACAATTCAGTAGGAGACCTATGGAGCATGTTGTTAATGTCAGGACCTAGTTCATAGTCCAATGCGTCCCACTCATCATCTCGGAATGAGAACAGCAGCCAGTTCCACCCAAACTCTGTAAATATCTTCAGCAAGTCCTTCAAGTAATTCTGAGACCCTTTGACTTCCCGAGAAATACCAAACTCTCCAACTAAAATCCGATTGGAAGGAACATTATTCTCAACCTGCCACTTGTAGACATTCTCCTTCAGTAAATCATAAAGAAACTCAAAAGTCACTTTAATCAACTCGTCCTTGCAGTTGGGCCAACGCCTCACTGATCCAGGATAGCAACACTCGCTGTCTCTTGAACTGCAAAGTGTCAAGTTAGGAGGAGCATACATGTGAAAGGAATAGGCTACATTAGGATCCTCAGGAATTGGAGACAAACACTTCATTGCTCTGGGACTAGCAAAACTCAATGGAGCCAGGATAATGACAACAGTTTCATCATGTGCCCTTATAGCTTCATGGGTCATATTATAGAAATGGTTCAATTCTGATCCATATTTACAAGTTATGTCATCAAAATACCCTGGATTCATCGGCTCGTATGGCTCGTTAATGAGGTCGTAACCAGCTATAAGGTCCTTGGAAAGGTCGGACAAGCCCTTTGCTAACTGGCCCCAAAATAAGGCAGCTCTTTCACGGGCTTGGGCCGAGATCCAAAAAGTGTTATCTGCTTTGCTCTGAAACGTACAGCCTCCAGGAAGATCAGTCATTGTTATTATCGATTTCAATCCACATCCACCGATTCTAATTAAAGCCTGTCTCAATCTCGGGAGTACAGTGTTGAGATGCTGGCTGTCTTCATAATGAGAGGTTGTGGATGAGTTTAAGAGATAATTCAGATCTTTAGCATCAGCTACAGCTCCAATACGTATCACTCTACAACCGTAGGAGGCAACTGCTTTAAAATCGAGAGTACTTGCAGGTTCTGATGACATGTTGACACCACCGAACCCTCTGGTCCAAATATCACCAACAGAGGGATTGTTAGTGGGTGTGGTCATTGACTCTTTAGCATAAAATGGCCGACTGATCCCGATTGGCCAATCGAGCGAGTAAATCGTATCATAAAAATTTTTAAATTTCTGATCCTGAAGTGACAAATTAGGTTGAGATGAATTCGATAAACAGAGATGCTCGTTTGTGTTCAGCTTCCATATCGATCCGTCCAATTTGCTTGCAATTATAAAACTCATCCAAAAATGGTTGGAATTTTTAATCTGATACCCAGAGCCTTTCTCAATTATTGAGTGGAGAGTGGCCATATTTAATAGACACAGTGAAGGTGTCAATAAGTGTACAGCTCTGTCGGACAGACTCTCACTGTAAGATTTAAAATGGACGCCATTTTGGAAAGATTCATGTTCCTTTGGATGTGGAAATATTTTATACCCGGCAGCAGTAAAGGCAACCTGCCCACTATAGAAATCATATTCACTGCATTTATCATGAAGGAACGAGAGGAAACTTGATTTAAAAATGACTCCAACCTCACAGTGAAGGACAGCTAGGGCTGGTTGTGGTAAGTGCTCTTTCAAAGAGAGGAGAGAGAAGGAAATGTCACTAAAGAATGAGCAACCCTTCTCGACATCTATTGAAACATAAAAAGGAGCTTTTCCTTGCAGCTGATCTAAATGAAGAGGTAGTTTAGAACCAGTACTGTTCCATATTAGTACAGTATTGAGTCTCATTCTCTCCTTTAGCTCCTCCTCCTCCTCCTTGGGTTGTAAGGTTTTGATGCTGTTAAGAGTAGCAGTGAGTCCTTGTTCATGAGACTCCAAGTTATAATGCACTACCAGACATACTCCAGTTTGAGTAGAAGACATGCTGACTGGTTGTGGGTTAATAACTATTATTACCATTAACATTAAAATAACAATTACTATGAATCATATCTTCACTGGAACAAGAGCCATTGATTCTAATTAATTGTAAGACTGTTAGTCTAGACAGCATCTGTTCCCCTTGCACCATGTCCATATCAACAAAGGACTGAGCACAATAATGTAACTAGTACCAGACACAGATACATCAAGTACATACAGTGTCTATTATTACCAATTTTTTGTCTGCATTCAATAGTCAGTACTGCAGTGCTATCTTTGTTAACACACAAATTAACAAATTAAAGTCACAAAACTTCTGTTATTCTTTCTAGGCTACATGTACATGTACAGAAGATGCAGCAGCCAGTAAATTGTATTTAGGTTTGTTTTGTTTCTCTGTCTGCAAGACCTTCACACAACTTAGCTCTACACCATCCTCCATTAGAAGACACTTCACAATAATAAGATAAATTTAAAACTATTTTTTGCTTCTAATACATTACAGATGTTATGTCCTACACATACAAGTTCTATGATTAATGTCACTGGGTCTAGAATACATAATATATGGTAATAATAAGAGACTTAAATATCACATTTTATATTTATTTATATCATCTTCAAGAAGTCTGTAACAGGAGCCCCTTCATAGCATATCCTGTAGACTGCAGTCATTAGAGGGTAACTGCAATGACAACAAGAAATGAGAGAGGTTAGGTTGAGTTAGGTTAGGTAGGGTTGGGTAGTAGAAAGAAATGTCCTTGGTTGATCGTAAAATTTTATGGGTGAGCTTGTAAAATTAGTTAAGGGCAAGATTTTAAAATTTAAAGATGTCATAAAATGAACCAGTTAAATAATGAATAGGGTGAGCTGTTAAAAGGTGAGAAGGTTAAAAATAAGTCAGGTGAGTCGCAGCTTAGACAAAGTACAAAAATGGATGCCAAAAATTTTGTGGTGCTAAAAAATAAACGTCACATGTGTTAGTCCTGTGTACTAAATGAATTAAGATTTAGTTACTTGTACATTATTAGGATATTATTAGGATATCATTAGGATATTATTAGGAAACTCACTCTTTCTCTTTGTCTTCTTTCTTGAGGAGTTGATGAACTTCATACGAAGCAAGAGGGCCTTGTAGCTTCTGGCCATTCAACATTTCCTTCTCCAACTCTTCAATAGTCTTAAGGAGAAATAAAACAATACAGTACATGTTTTTGGCCTGATTTTTGAGTAACTTTAAAAATTTGTAAGAAATCCAAATTTGATCGGAATGAGCTCAAAATTTCTATGCAACATAAGTACATGTATATGTATCAGAAAATGTAATAAAAATGGAGGATTTTCTCCTTTTCAATTTTAGCGAAATTTGGCTCAAGACCATGTACTATAGTACAGGGACTTTTACCCAAATTTGGAGAAACTTTAAAAATTTGTAAAAAATCTAATTTTAATCGGAATCAGCTCGAACTTTCTACACAACATAAGAACATGTATATGTATCAGGAAATGTAATAAAAATCCAGAATTCTCTCCTTTTCAAATTTGGTGAAATTTGGCCCACAACCCTATAGTACAGAATTTGGTGAAATTTGGCCCACAACCCTATAGTACAGGGACTTTGGCTAGTCACTCTTGATGCTTTTATTCTCTGACTGTACTGTATTGTACTGTACTGTACTGTATTGTTACCTTATTGGCAGTGACAAAAGCTTCAGCTACTTTCCTGTTCCTTCCTCCATAGCAAGTAGCAATGACGTCGGAGAACCCACAGCTCTCAAGAAAGGTACCTAGCTGGACTCCTTTGTAATAATTAGTGGCAAACTGCCACATCTCCATCATACCAATACGCATGACAGCAGCTTTAGTACTGGACCCATAACTGATGGGGGAGGGAGAGGAGGGGGAAAGAGAGAAGAGGAGGGAGAGGGGAAGGGAGAGGGGGAGAGAGACATTTTGTGTTATTTGATAAAATACAATTGCATTTCTTACCCCAATCCATCACAGAATCCAGCAGCAATAGCAATGATATTCTAAAAAAAAATTTTTTAATAATAATGACAAATATGTGTAGTTAAAAAAATTAATATACAAAAGTACAAATTTCACACGGGTAGACAGCTTAATTTTGATAGATAGACTCATTTACTTTGATTGCTCCACAGACTTCAACAGTAGCAGCATCCTGAGTGATTGATATCCTGAAATGGTCACGATGAAACAACTCATAAAGGAGCTGAGCATTATCAGCATTCCTTGAACCTACCCGGGAAAACACCCGCCAAATAGCGCAATTATGAAGTGGGTGGAGTCCAATGGGTATGGCTTACCTAGTGTTGATTCACAGAAGTCTCCCCGAGCGACTTCAGAGGCGATATTAGCCCCCATGAGTACTGATACATCCATACCCAGTGTCTTGTATATTATCCGTGATACTAACTGTATTCCTCCCTGTGTAGCATCGACACCCTGGGGGGCAGGGGGAATGATTAATTTTAACAATGTACAGTGTACATGTATAGCTATAATGGGGTCTGAGTCCATTAGTTCTTACTTTAATTAAGGAGCAGGCGAAAGCTCCTGGTTTTACGTGACCTTTGATCTGTTCACAAACACCTTTGACAAACTAAAGATACAATAATAATAACAATAATAATAACAATAACAACAACAACAACAACAACAATAATAATAATAATAATAATGATGATGATGGTGAAAATAGTGACATTAAAGATGATGACATAGCCACTACAAATATCAATGGTGTAGTGTTACAATTGACTAAGCACATTCCAATATACCCACCCCACATAGTCACACACACACACACACAACACAACATGTATTAATATCTTAAAATATGACACTTCTCAATGACAATAACACACCGATGAAAGTGAAATACACCACACCCACTAGAGAATTACCTGATGAGGTAGAACAAATATTAAAATGTCAGCATCTTTGACAGACTCAACAACACTCGTGATAGCAACCTAGAGAGACCAAGTGTCATAAAATAGCTTCCATTACACACATTAGCAGCTCATTACCACATTCTCTGGCAGCTTCTCTCCAGGGAGGTACTTCACATTCTCATGTCTTGTATTTATTATTTCTGAGAGCTTCTCTCCATCAATCATTTCTTCAAATACCCACATGTTAACAGTCGTGTCAAAGTTGCTACTGCCCTGTGCATTTAGGCCAATTATCTTTGATATGGCTGATCCCCTGTGCATAATTGTGTTAGAATTGTTAAACTTTAAATAATTTTATTATGACGCTTTAAATAATACAACAACTAACAAAGCAAGCAGAATGCATTATTCAGTAGGTCATATTATTCATAATACATATTATTAATAAGATTAACGTTCCCTTACCAATTGCCAGAGCCAACAATAGCCACCTTCTTGGGAGCCGCCATTTTTAAAGTGATAAGCGGAAGAATACGTAGACGTAACCGGAGGCGAGCTGGCGGGGTTCAATCACAAAAATTAATTTTCTAACTGTCTCGTGGGCGTAATCACACAAATTAAATAAAAGCTATTACTATTAGCGAGAGTAAATAATACCTGTATTTATAGGTATTATTTACTCTCGCTAATAGTTAGTCTATTCTTTAGCCTTTTCTATTATGTTGTAGTAAATTGGCGGCTTCTCCATTGGAATGAGTTCCTCTAGTGCAGAGCCAACACGTAGCAGCAATCCTTCATGATTCCACTCGCTCTGTAGCAAGAATCCAACAGGCAGGCCTCCTCCTCTTCCTTCCCCACTAGTGAGACCAACTGGTATACTTATTCCTGGTATCCCAGTGAAATTAGCAAGAGAAGCATATCTCATAATTTTACCAGTTAATTCTGTGTTCCCATACCCGTACTTCTCAGCCCCAGGAGGTATAGCTGGAGCCACAGATCCAGTTGCAGGTGTAGCAATGAGATCAACTTCTTCAAAAAGAGACTTTACGATTGAAATTGATCGAGTACGCTGCTTCTGAGCATTGATGTACTCTTTGGCAGAGACACTCTTACCGACACTAAATAGCGTAATGGTCTCAGAATTCATCTCTTCAACTCTTTTATCAATATCCACAGTATAAGAAGTGAAGAACTCAGTGGCAGTCGTTATCATATGAGCCACTCTCAGCTCCTCAAGCTCTGGTATGACAATATCCTTAACCTCAGCACCAAGAGAAGCCAAAGCATCCAATGCTTTCCTACATAACGAAACAACTTGAGGATCAGCATGATCAAAATACTCATTATAAACCCCGATCCTTAGACCACTGAGATCTTTAATATCAGCCAACCCACTCAAATCAAACCTTCCGGGCTCCATTACATTCATTGCAATGGCTGCATCAACAGATGTTGAGCACATTGGGCCAATGACACCAACAGAAGCAGTTTGAGGCAGGAAACCAGTTAAATCTAAAGATCCAAAGGTCGTCTTGAGACCTGTAATGCCACAAAAAGAGGACGGAGTACGAATTGATCCACCTGCATCACCACCGATTGTAATAGGACAGAGACCAGAGGCAACAGCAGCTGCTGATCCAGAGGAGCTCCCTCCACAGTAGCACTCATCACTGTAAGGATTCCTTGCAGTCAAATACTCCTTGTGTGGATTGGAACCAAGAGCTCCGGTACCAAATTCCTGCATATTCGTGAGACCGGCCATTATGGCACCTGCTTCAACAAGCCTCCTAACCACCTTGGCTTCCTTAAGACCAAGCGAACAGGTCGGTTTGAAAGTACCTCCTCCAGTCAGAGAATAAGACTCAAACTTGATCTGAGCTTTCACTGCAAATGGAACGCCATCCAGTAACGATAGGGGCTTCCCCTCTCTCCATCTTTTAGTTGATTCTTGAGCGAGTTTCATTGTGAGCACATTGTCAGTTTCAACGATAGCCCTCAAAGGTGGTGAACGAGAATTAGAAACTCTAACAGACTCCAGTACTGCCCTAGCTACATCCACTGGTTCAACACTACCAGACTTATAGGCAACCCAATAATCCAAGGAAGATATGCGACCATTAGTGGAAGCATACCTGCCAGCAATATCTTCCAATAGTTTAGCATTGGATTGCTCAATGGCTTTGTCTCTTAATGGAGGAGGTACAGGAGGAGGTACAGGAGGGAAGAGTGTTGGTGGCTCTGGTATGTATTCACCATTCATAAGATCAAGGTTGCTCTTCTTCTTAACGTTCCTAATGACAAAGCTACCAAGTAAGGATAAAGACTTTAATGACAGGATTCTAAGCGGATAGCCAACTAGTTCCAGAGATGACAAATCTTTCACTTCATATTTAATCATCTTTGGGTTGTTGGAAGGATCCAGGAGCTGCTCAACAGGTGCTCTGGCCTCTCCAGCTCTCTTTCCAGTACATACTGGCCTCCTAGACGTGAGAAAGAAGAGAAGAGAGAGAAAAATAAAGAGAAAAGTTACAGCAAGAAACAGCATGATTATTGAGGCGTGGCTAAATCTAATGACCACGCCCATTAACTAAATTATTATGATTGCTGCTAATTTTTTGCTAAAAGAAGATAATTAAATCAATTAAAAAAATAAAAATTAATCACTAATAGATGTAAGTTAATACTAACAAGAGTCATTTGCTAATAAAGCTGCTACACACACACACACACACACTCACAGAGGCACGCATTAGTAATTGGTAAAGTTTATCAAGTTAACTAGCTTCTTCCGCATCTTCATCTTTATCCTCTGTAGTCCAAAGGTTCAGATTGTCACGTAACAGCTGGAGGATGAGAGTGCTATCCTTATAGGCACTGGTACTGCTTAGAGTATCAAGCTCATCTATCCCGTCGTCAAAAGCTTTCTTTGCCAGTTTGCAGGCTTCCTCGGAATCGTTTAAAATCTCGTAATAAAAGACAGAGAAATTAAGAGCCAGGCCCAGTCGTATTGGGTCAGTTTTACCCAAGTCCTCCGAGGCCTTGACTGCCTCTTGATACGCTTCCTTTGCTTTTTCTTTCTTATCTTCTTTGTCATCTCCGTCCACGACCTCAGCCATGTAACGATAATAGTCTCCCTTCATCTTGTGATAGAAGACCTTACATTCTGTTGTCTGAGCCCCGGGAAGAAGCTTATTAGTAATAAGATCCACAGCATCAGTGCAGATCTTAACAATCTCGTCGACAGCTTGTTTCTTGTACTCTTTCAATATCTCTTTCTCCGTCTCTTTACTATCCGCCTTTTCTAAACTGGAGATGGTCCTCCAGGCATTTCTATGCACCCCAACCGTGTTCTTGTACCCAACTGAGAGTAGGTTCCTGTTCTGAGCTTCATGTATGTCGCCTCCTAGTTCAATGAACTCTTTCATGCTTGATACGACGTCGTCGTACTTTTCTAAATTCTCTGCCGTTTTTGCTTTACACAGTGCTCGCTCCATCTTTAATCAGGCGTAGTGGAAACAGATCAAACTAGCCAACTCTTAAAGTAAACGAGGGCCCTTTCTTCAATCTCTTGTTTCTCTAAAGGAATTTATGCTGCCGTATTTGTTGATTTTGTTCTAATAAAGCGAACTAAACCGACATTCCAAGTTAATTATTTTTATTAATTATTATTAATAAATATTGAATAAACAATTTAAACATCAAAAAAATTCTACTTTACAAAAACATGTTTACATTGAGTTTCATACAATAACCACAGCTGCAAAACAATACAACATCAAGTCCTCTACACGACATTAAAGTCAATTATTAAAAGACACTCTCCTCTCAGAATACTGAGAAAGGCTGGCAGCCGGATAATTATTAGGTGGGGGACCTCTCATAGCCTGACCACTCGGCACTGGGTTGGGTTGTGTTGAAGAATAGTGTCGGAGTCCAGCTGGAGCCTGGAACTGTTGCTGCTGCTGCTGCTGTACTGAACCAATCGACCTTGCAGGCTGTGACAACCTCCGATCCATACTATTAGTGGCAGGGATGGGGGGAGGGGGCGGGGCTGGAGGTGGGGCTGGGCCTGAGGTGACATGTTGAGGGGTTGTAGGGTTTGATTTACGAGTAGGAAGACTATTAAAGTATTGATCAGTTGAAGTGTTTGGAGGAGGAGGTCCAGTTGAGGTCACAGGATGACGGAAAGCAGGAATGGGGGACAGACTAGGAGGAGCAGAGACTTTACGTGGGAATGTCCTGGTGGCTGAAGGTGGGGGCGGGGCAGAGGGTGGAGTTGAAGGGAGTGGTGGGGGAGGAGGGGCAGAAGGAGGAGGAGAAACAATTGGAGTTCCATTTAACATTGACTCGTGATTCGTTAAACTAGCAGATCTTCTATTGGGCATTGTATGAGACCCAACAGCAGGAGGAGGAGGAGGAGGAGGAGGAGGGGGCGGGACAGGAGCTAGGGCCGGGGCAGGAGGAGGGGCCACTGAAGGTGAAGAAGGAGCAACACTAGGATCAGTATTATCGACCATGTCTTCTGCCATTGGATTACGCACAATACATAAGTCATCACTGGTTCTTGAAGTGATGGTAGAAGTTCGTTGTGTTATGTGCTGGCTATGACGGGCATTATATGGAATGCTCTTCTTCCTTCTACAGTAGCAATGGCAGCAGCAACAGCAGCATATTACACACAAAAGGAATAAAATGAACACTGTTACTCCAGCACCAGTGTATAGGAACAGAGACTCTCTATAGAATGGTAAGTCTGTAGCACCAACAGTTGGAGGAACTGTGGTATAAATAAATAAATGCATGAAATAAAATAAAATGAAACAGGAATGCATTACTTGTATTAGTAGTACTAGTAGTTGTTGAAGTATGTCTTGTTGTTACTAAGGTACTTGATGAGGTCTGTGATGGAGTTATTGAGACTGATGTTGTTTCATTGCACGAATTGATTTGATTGGTCACTTTATCGAATTCTCTGATTACTAAATAAATTAAAAATAATTAGAGTGCTGTAAATATATTGCAGGTACTTATAATAGTATTTGTACTAATTTTAGAGTTTTTAACATATCCCTGGGGGTTGTCCCTAATAATCTTAGACCTCTTGTTAAATTTGCTAAAATTAGTACACACAATAAAAGCAGAGACGCTTACTGCATTCAACAGTTGCTCCCTCGCTGCAGTTAGTCACTGGTTGAGATGGACAACTAGCAATTGATGTGAGGCAATTGCTAATTCCTTCACTTGTACTGCCACTGAACCACACAGTATGAGGAGAAGAACCACTGCAAATAGAATGATGAGTGTCAATGACTAGTACTACCAAATAGTGCTGCGATTCATTTTTGATGATTTTTATTTTTACAATTTAATAATTTGCAGTTTAGTTGCTGAAATTTTAATTACAAAGCTTTGTACTGTCATTATAAACTCTAAGCCCATCGAACCACTAGTATAATAGTATCAATCATTGCTCACATTTTCAAATGATTGTAGCCATTATGACCAGAGTATCCCAACTGTCTACATACAGTGTTAGCAGTGCTGCTACTAAAACCAGCACTACAAATTGATCCCCACTGTCCATTGCAATACACTTCAATCCGTCCTTCATTGGAATAGCTACCATCTTGCAACCGAATCATACCAAGAAAAGGACTACTCTCCCATATCCTAGTCGTATCTAATAAATAAAAAAATGATTGTCAAATTATCTAATTTTTTATAGTAATACAATACTAAGCTTGAATATCAATTGGATTAGAGTGTAATTACACATACTGATGTCACATACTGAAACTTACAGCAGCGTACAGTGACATCATTGCTGTTACTGGAGCAGCCACTGTCAATGCTAGTGGAGTATGAACACTGGAGTATTGTGAGGTAATCAGAACTAGAGCAATGGACATCATCAAGCAATGTTGGACTATTATCAGTACCATAACTGAATTATAGAGAAAAAGAATAATAATAATAATAATTTCGATAAAAATTTTAATTAAACAATGACAATAGTCATTAATTGCCACAGATGTACCTCATCAAGCCAGCCCTGGAGTGGCTTGAAGCTCCTGCATATCCCAACTGGTGGCATATCACGTCTGCTTCATTATGCCCAAAGTTTAAATCATCACAAATATTGCCAGTGGCTCCATTGTATTGTAACTGAACTATACCAAAGTAGTACTGCGATGAATGGACACCATTTCTATACAACCTTACAGCTCCGTTTTCAAATCCTCCACCAACTGAAAATAATTATATTATCAAAATTAAAATTAATGCATGTATGCATAGGAAAATGTAATAAAAAATCAGGATCTCTCTCATTTCCAATTATTACATTTACACTCACTTTGGCATAGTACAGAAGCTTCTTGAGCAAAATTATTGTTAACAGCAGCATCCAGTGAGACTATGCACTGATATATTGATAACTCACTTCCATCACATTTCACACTATCATCACTAGAACCACCAGAACCTGGTTCATAATCACTACCAACTGATCCACCTACAGTACATTTAAAATTTGAATTTCTCTTTTAAAATCCTTTCCACTAACTTTGGAAGTTGAGCATTTTGCACACAACCATTGCATCACTATTTGACCAAGTGTCATCGGTCAGATTCGTCCAATGATTATCAACACAAAGAGACACAGTCCCAGCATTAGGGACACCCTCTTCATTAAGTAGCCTCACGTCGCCAGTATTGCATTCCTCTATAATGAGTGGGTGGAAGGGAGGGTGAATAACATAATTAAATAAAAATTCCCTTTTGCATACCAGCACTGACGATTTGATTACACTGCAGTAGTGTCATGTTACAATCGCTAGTTAGGGAGAGACGGTCGGAGCATTGCAATAGTGTGGCCTCTAAACCAGAACAGTTCAGCCTGTGGAACAAGATACCATTGATTGATGCAGTAGGAGCCGTTTGATGTGAAGAAGAAGCTGTGAGAGAAGGAGAGGGAGAGAGAGAGCAGGTGACATGGTGTACATAAGCTAAAATAAACCAGACCATGCTTACAAAGCAAATACTTGACATAACTTGAGATAGCCTAACTAATCGTCTACTGATTACACATGGTAATAGATTGAGTACATGACATAATGTACAACTACTCAGTACATCCAGTGATACAATCGGTGGTTAAAAGGAGCGTGGGTCAAAATTAAGTCCAACTGACCATAAAAGTTAAACCATCCATGACCTTTACCTGATTCATATCCAAGTTGTCTACAAGCAACATTGCCTGCACTGTCAGTCCATCCATTGCCACAGACACTGATCCATTGATCCTCTACACATACCTCCAGCCTACCTTCCTCCAGTCTTAATACACCACCAACACAACCTAGCAAAAAAAATGATAGCACATCAAGACCTTCTATTGGACTGTATTGTACAGGCAGATACTGCAGTAGTTTGTTAATATCAATGGAGGAGATTTAACAGTGCCAGTTAATGGCACAAGCTGTACATCAATTGCCAGTAAAACTGGAGTTGCATAGATATATAATACACATACTATATTGTTTTATTTTACTGTACCTTTTGTCTCTTTGATCCAAGCAAAGAGTAATAGAGAAGCAACAATGAAGAACAGTCTCAGCATCTTCTAATGAGCAGGAGCTTACAATCTACAACAATGGTATAAACTAGAGCAGCTCTTCCTCTCTCTCTCTTTTCTGGGGAGTGAGAGCAGTAATTAGGCTGATAGTGGAAATGTCATGTACTATTAGTCTCCTTTTGAGTGCATACAAGACATTCCAACAATATAACATACCACAGAACTATTAGTATCCAGACATGCCATGCATGCATACAACACTCCATACCATCATCTATTAGCATAGTGTCAATGTCTATTATCCTGTACTATTATCATACTAGTAGTATTATTGACTATTGTTAGTATTATCAACTATTGTTAGTATTATCATCTATTGTTGCTATTATTATTATTACTATTGTTATTATTAATACTGTATTGTTGTTGTTGTCTCATCATTTGTAGACATTAGCTCTATAAACTAATTGTACTTCTACAACTTGTAACATCAAGTACTACTAAACTCACTAAAAATTAACAATGAAAATAAATATCATTTGGTCCTTTTTGTATTTTCCTCATAAGCATGAAATTTTAAATTGCAATAAAAATCTTCCAATGCCATTTTCAGCACAAATAAATTAATCTTGAATTATTCTGATATGAATACTTTCTATAATGGATAAGGATCAGGAATTGCAATATTAATATCTGTAAGTGGCCATTTTTGCGAACAAATCAATGACTTACATTCACTATGATAATATTAATAATTATTATTATGACAATTAAGATTTGAGGAAAGAGAAATAGTAAAAGAGAGAGTGAGGGAGAGAGTATCTTGTTAATGTGAAACACATCAATAGCTATTAGAAATCAGAGGGATGAGTGTGTGCTAGTGTGTGCATCAATTAAATAATAATATTACACAATGCAAGAATGATTTCAACATCAGTTTTCAATAATAATAATAATAATAATAATAATAATAATAATAATAACAATAATAATAATAATAATAATAACAATAATAATAATAATAATAATAACAATAATAATAATAATAATAATTACAATAATAATTATTGCTATTAACACAATCAGTTAGAGGCAAAACAGCACCTATACAAAGAGAAAATAAACACACATATACATAATTACTGAAGCAAAACTACAAAGTGTATACTACATACAGTGTATGTAGTGACCAGTGTGTGTGTCTCTGGAGGTGAGTATCAGTAATGTAATACCTGAGTCCCTTGATATCTGCCCTCAGCTTCACCTCAAGCAGATATCTCAGTCCACAGGTATTACATTACTTATACACACACACACCTCCAGGTACATGAATACCTACTGACTCACCAGTCTACTACAGCTAGCTACTATCAATTGTTAGTATCAGGTACCACTGATACATCATTAACACCACCGGTCTCACTGAATCTAATCACATCATCGTCATCATCATCATCATCATCTTCTCCATCAGACAGCTCAGTTTTACGACCAATAGCATTTAACAATTTAACACGAGGACCCTATAAATAATCATAATAGAAAAATTTTAAAGATAAAATAAAATTAAGAATTATACTGTACATGTACATGTGGGACAGAATTATGTTATTTAAGTACTTTAGGAATGCCGACTTCAGCAAAATCCTTTTCACTCATGAGCAAGAGAGCATGATGATCAATCTCATTCTTCTAAAATAATAAAATAAGAAATAAATAAATAAATAGTCAAATAAAACATGTACTTGAAATAAATTATGATATTTAGAGAGGCCTAGTTTATCAAGCAGGCCCGAGAGATTATCGTAAGAATTAACTGGACTGGAATCAGCTGATACATGATTTGAAACTGAAGAGAGAGTAGGCGGGGCAGGGGGAGGGGCTTGATGAGAAGAGGAGAGAGAAGGAGGGAGAGACTGTGAAGTACTTGATGAAGGCCAGGATTGTTCAGGATTGTTCTTCCAACCAATTTCATCTGATCCAGCACCTAATAAAGTAATACATGTAGATTATTATTATTATTGTTATTGTTATTATTATTATTATTATTGTATTATTATTATTGTATTATTAATAAAAATTAATTAATTACCTATTGTAGGCGAGTATGGTGACCAAACACTCGAAGTATCTATTGCTAAAAATAGAACAGTTAATAATGACACGTTACTAAGTTCTAAAAATAGTAACAATTTAACAGTACATGTATACCATGGTTGTCTTAAATTTAATAATAACAATAATGTTTATTAATAAATTAAATATTATTACTTGAGGTAAGCATCAGTCCAGTGGTACCAGTTAGTATGAGTGTGTTGTTGGGGGCGTGGTGATCCACTCCATGGGTAAAACCCATTGACCCTCCAATGGGCACCCGTTGGGCCCTTGGTATCATTGAAGGTGATGGTAAAGGAGCTACTGTGGATGGAGCACCTGCCACTGGGGGAGGAGGAGGAGCAAAAGCACTTGAAGGATTAGTATCAGTTTTATCAATCGATCCACCTGGTGGGGGGTAAGATGGGAGAGACGGGAATCCATCTAGCGGAATGAAGAGAGTCAATTCAGTAAAATACTCTCACACTTTGAGGAGTCAGAATTAAGTGAAAATTGTTAATCAATTTACATCATTGGCTGATAAAATTGTACATGTATATGTACATATTTTTTAAAAACATGTATATGTACTTATGCGATTAATACATTAATTAATAATAAATTGATTATTATTACCTGCTACGTTATTTCCTCCAGTTAATCCTAACGAGCTACCATAAGCCATCCATGGATCAGTGGGTGTGGCTTCATGAGGATCGACCACACCCATCCCTTTATCATAAGACGAAAAACCAAAAACAGATTGCGCAAGAGGCCCATCAAACTGGTCAGGTGGGATCGGTTCCCGTGGCAACATACCCCCGGGAGGAAACTGATTGGGTGGTGGATGCGGCATCAGGTGAGGGGGCGGAGGGGGACCTCCCCCTTCGTAATAAAGAGGTCTGCTAGGGGGCGGGACCAAGAGATGAATAGGAGGATGACCCAATAGTGATGGTTGATTGATGGGCGGAGGACCAGGGGGAGGAGGGGGAGGGGGAGGAGGGAGAGAACTATTAACAATAACTGGAGACGGAATGACATGCCCACTAGAGATTGAAGTGGGCGGGACAGAAGGAGGGGCTTGATGGTGTGGGGGTGGAGGAGGAGGGGGTGGAGCTGGCGGGAGTGTCCCTAGTAACGATGAGGCCATTGGAACTGGTAAACTGTATTTGATTGTTTGCGTGGGCGGATTACCTAATATGGAGCTGGTGGTACCCTAAAAATTAAATAAATAAAATATTTAAAAATAAATAAAATATCCCAAATATTATATCATAGACCCACCCACTATTACGGTACACATGTACATGTACAATCGCACATTTCAATTAATTAATAACTTACAGCTGCTCCCATGACAGGCCCCGCCCCCATTGGTACAAAAGTTGGTGCGTTTGGATTGAAGTTACTCGACTGGATAACATTCTTAGATGTGATTGCCTGAGGAGGTGGGGCAGGAGGCGGGGCTTTAGCCGGAGAAGGTGTTTGATCATCGAGAGAGGGAGTAAGAGGAGGAGGAGGAGGAGAAGGAGGACCCGACTGGAACGGACTTATTGGTTTTGATTTCTTTGATAACGGAGAACGATTGTGACCACCTACAGAGAGTGTATAAATAATAGCTGGACAACACAATATTCCATCTTACCAAAATGAACTGGTACAGTTCCAAAACCAGGAGGTGTCGCTAAAAGAGGTTTCCTGTTACGAACTGGAGTGGGCACTTTAGTCGGAACTGAAATGTTTTGAACATTAGTACCTTCAGGATGAATGGGACGAAACTCTAAATATAGAACAAACAACAAAGTAATAATGAACATCCAAGACCTTTCATGATACATTTTCTGATACATATTGATGTCCTTATGATGTGTAGAAAGTTTGAGCTGATTCCGACTTCAAATTTTTCGAGTTATGACCATTTTAAGAAAACGTCAAAATTCTGTAAAATACCCAAGGCTATAGCCCATGGTTTTTTCCAAAAATGGCTCCGAAATCACACCAAATTTTTATTACATTTTCTGATACATATTGATGCCCTTATGCTGTGTAGAAAGTTTGAGCTGATTCCGACTTCAATTTTTCGAGTTATGACCATTTTAAGAAAACGTCAAAATTCTGTAAAATACCCAAGGCTATAGCCCATGGTTTTTTCCAAAAATGGCTCCGAAATCACACCAAATTTTTATTACATTTTCTGATACATATTGATGTCCTTATGCTGTGTAGAAAGTTTGAGCTGATTCTGACTTCAATTTTTCGAGTTATAGCCATTTTAAGAAAACGTCAAAATTCTGAAAAATACCCAAGGCTATTATAGTCTATGGTTTTTTCAAAAAATGGCTCCGAAATCACCCCAAATTTTTATTACATTTTCTGATACATATTGATGTCCTTATGCTGTGTAGAAAGTTTGAGCTGATTCCGACTTCAATTTTTTGAGTTATGGCCATTTTAAGAAAACGTCAAAATTCTGAAAAATACCCAAGGCTATAGCCCATGGTTTTTTTCCAAAAAATGGCTCCGAAATCACCCCAAATTTTTATTACATTTTTTGATACATATTGATGTCCTTATGCTGTGTAGCAAGTTTGAACTGATTCCGACTTAGATTTTTCAAGTTATGACCATTTTAAAAAGAGCCTACATATATTTTCCTAATTAATTAATTAATTACCTTTATCATTGGTGCTGGTGTTAACTGGAGGAAGTGGCAACAGACCAACAGGTGCTGCCCCTAGCAACGGACTCTTGGGAGAGGCAGAGAGAGGAGAAGAGCCTTGGATTATCGGAGACAGAGGAGGAGGAGCTTTAGAAGTACGAGAGGGAGGTCCAATGGGTCCAAGCATGTTAGGACTAACAGGAGAGCCTGATGGTGGAATCTTAAAGGAGGTTACAGGATCAGAAGGAGCCTCAGACCAGGGAGCCATTCGTAGCTTTGATGACACATCAGACGAGGTAATACTAGTAGAGGACTGTGACTAAATGGAGGGAAAGAGGAGAAGGATAATCATATAAAAATGGATCCAATCTGATAATGTTGTATAGTGTATTTCTTATACTGTATGTTGTGTTACCTTTCCTGAGTCGCTGTTCCCACTGGTTGGTCTAGAGCCAGGAGCTAAATTAATCTTAGAGCCACTCCCACTGACCACACCTACTGAAGAGGAGGGGGCACTCATCACACTGGAATAGGAGACCTTGCCACTCCCACTGGAGCTTCCTCCAATTTCATTGGTCGATGAAGAGGGAACTGTGCTCCTTTTCCCGACAGCGTCCGAGTATCTCTTAGGTTGCGTAATGTGAGACGCAGCGTCGTGAAAGAGTGATGGGGTTTTCAATATCTGCTCAAATACGTTTTGTGGGTGTGGCTCAGGTCCAGTTGTGGGAGGGGCTGGCGGCTTTACAGGTTGCTTGGAAGTGGTAGATGGCTTATCTAAAAATTAAAAATAAATAAAAAATAACATGAACATATCATTAACACTAAAACACAGTCCAACTCCCTCTCTCTCTCTCTCTCCTTACCAGTAGTATTATTATTAGCACTACTCTCTCCTCCATTATTATTATTATTGGTTCTAGTCCCTGAGCTATTGCTACTACTAGTGGTTGTTGTGTTGCTAGTGTTAGCACTACTTCTTGTTACAGTGTCTATACTGGTGGGTGGGGAACCAGTTGAAATGGCCATGCCTTTAACTACGCCCAGTTTAGTCGGCAGGGACATACTAGTTGATAATAAAGGGGGCGTGGTCCCAGTGCTTCGGCTACTATCAGTGAATAACTGCCTCACAGCTCCGGAACGATGGACTGGAGGGGAGGAGTCAGTTACCATAGCAACCGAAGCGGATACAACTGGATTGGTCAGTTTCCGTTCATGAGGTACTTTAGATACTCTTGAAGAAGGTAACGCCCCCTTGGCAGAGTGGGTGGGGTTTGGAAGTAACGATTCTGATTTACTAGTGGGTGGAGCTAGAGGTTCATTAAATGTGTGGGCGGGCCAAACAGGATCTTGAATGGGTGGAGCTTCATTAACTAGAGAGAAGGATGGAGGAGGGTCTATGGATCGAGACACAGGATTAATGTGAGTCTTTCCTAAAGACGAAGATGATGGTAGGTGAGCTATATCTGTGTTTGGGTCTTTTTGTAAGACAGAAATAAAGTGAATGGCCTGTTTGACAGCATCTTGACTGCCCCTAGGGGGAGAGAGAGGGAACAGGTATCAAATTAAAGAGGGACTAGTCCTCAGTTAGTACTTTATTGTCACGTTCCTCAAAGGAGCTTGTCTGCTTCCCTTCTCCACCTCAATGTGAGCTCCAGTTAGTTGTCTTATTAATATGAGTCTATTGCTGCCTCTCCCAACAACTGAACTGTACTTGGAACCAGGTATTGTGATCTTCCTTGTACTGCACATTAAAATGAATAAATAAATAAATAATAGATGAAATGTACACAGAAATAGATCATTTGGTAATCAAACAGGTGAGTAATTTAACCTTTTAAAGTATTGGAATTTAAACAATTCCTGTTCTAAACATGCAGCAGTAGCAATATCACACAATTAATAATAATTATCTTTTTAAAAGTACGTCTATCTTAGATAAGCCCCTCCCCTTACATTGTGTATCTTTTTGCCACTTCCTTCCACTCGTCATCTTTCTTAATCTTCCGAGGACTTGAGGCCACGCCCCCTCCCTTAACGAGGGGGAGGGACTGAGACGCAGGTACTGAACTACTGTCACTAAACCTAGACCAGGAGGCTGGGAGAGAACCAAGTGAAGCTGTGGAAAATGAAGGAGTACAGACAACCAAACTAGCTAGTTCTTTAGTTGTTGGTGTCGGTAATAAAGCCTTGGGTCTAGTCTCTCTCTCGTTAACACTTGATATGGGCGGAGTCTCACTGGGCGGGGCATCCTCATGATTGGTAGCACTTTCAGGTTCTTTACTATCGGCCGGGGGCAGTCCCAGCTCTTTGAACACATAGTTCTTGTCGTTGGGATGCTCAGGTTGTACTGGTTCATCATCTTCATCATCAAGTGATCCGTTCTTACTCGTCTTTACTAAAGCTCTGTTTAATAAATAAATATTAATAATTATTAATAACAGTGTGCATGTACTTCAAAGCTTGCTTCTTTTCTTTTTGCTTCTTCTTCCTGGCTCTTTTCTTAGCAGCTGCAGCCTTCTTGTTCTCTTCGTGTTGCTATGGACAACGGGCTATGAATATGATTAACTAGTAGGTGTGGTCCTACCTTCTCCAGGTCAATCTGCTGGAGCAGTATTGATGCGTTCTTATTAGCCTCAGCTGCTTGTCTGTCCTTAGCGTATATAATCACCTCCATACACCTCTGGCACTTTTTGATCAGGTCCTACAACAATGGAAAGATATATCATACAGCACAAGATTTTTAAAGGTACAATTCGTGAAAAAATCAACCAAAAATCAGCCTTATTGGTCAAGTTTAAGGTGATACACATGTACTAATGCATGACAGTCTCTGCCATGAGATAACTGATCATCAGGTGTACCTTATCAGAGAGTGTATTGATGTATCTCTTAAGGTCCGAGTCTGACGGGAACTGAGTTACATGATCCACTAGGTACTTCACTACTTTATAGTGACCCTGTAGTGTGGGCGGAGTAACTACACCCACTAACGAGGTGTCCTTACCTTTCTAAAGGCTGCCATCAAAGCACAAACTTTTCTATTGTCCTGAGTATCAACATCAGCACTGCTTTCTACCAGTAACCTAGCAACCTCCAAATGACCTCCTACAGTTAATAATAATAAAAGATTGTATTATTATTATTATTTATTTATTTGAAATACCGTTAGCAGCTAGCCACAGTGGTGAGTTCCCTTTCTTGTTCTTAACGTCAACAATAGCTCCTTCTCTTAAAAGTAGCTCCACAAACTTGTAGTGTCCTTTATCAGCAGCAATGGTGAGGGACGAGTCCTTGGAACTGGGGACTGGAGCAGCATTGACGTCAGCACCCTGGGGGGGAGGGGAGGGTTAAAATATAACTAAATGACATTTTATTTTACAATTATAAAAGGTACAAACTACATATCTACATGATGTATTTCTCTAAACACAAAACTCAGTTATTATAATGGACAATGGACATACCTTGCTGATCAATACGTGTCCTACTTCATGATATCCTCCGGAAGCAGCTTCCATCAGTGGAGTCAACCCAGTCTATTTATAGAACACATGACATCACATGACATCATCAGTCTCCACCCACCTTAGCTCTATGCTCCACATTAGCTTGTCTCTCCACCAGAAGGTTCACTACCTCGTGCCGTCCCTGAAAGCAAGCAAGAGTCAGTGCCGTGTTACGATTGGTCTCAATCTAAAAATAGAACAGGTGGATGGTTACTCCCTTGAGGCCACACCCCCTCCACAGTACCTGTGCATTGATATCAGACCCGTAATCCAGTAATAGTTTAACAGTCGTGGTGTGTCCATTCATTGCTGCTAGCATTAACGGGGATATTCCCAACTTGCTACCAGTTCTATAGAAAGACAAATAAACATTGTACAATTGTACATTGAATCTTAAAAGTTGCTCTAAAAGTGAGCATTAAACATTGCTATCCTTCCTCTTAGCCCCGCCCCTGACCCACCCACCTTGAGTTGATGTCAGCCCCCGCCTTCAGTAGTAGTTTGATGATGTTAACGTATCCCCCAGAGGCTGCCAGTGAGAGTGGAGTGTAGTCCGAGACATTCCTGTGTTCATAGTCGGCACCTTTAGCTAATAATAACTCAACAACCTGTTAACAACAACAACAAACAAATAAATAAATAAATAAATAAATAAATAAATGTAAAACATAGAACTTTAGCAATCAACTTCCTTATCCATTCTTGCTTATAGTACTTAGCAAGTACATGTACTTGTACTTGTATACTTATTCCATAAATATTTTAAAGTACTACACCCTGATCTGATCTGATACTAGAGTAGATGGTTAGAGTACCTCTTGTCGTCCAGAAGAGCAAGCTAGTGATAGTCCAGTGTCTTTGGTCCTGTCAGTCTGAGCCTCAATGTCAGCATCATGCTCCAGGAGAATAGCTACTGTCATGGCATGACCTGCATTAGCTGCTAATATCAATGGAGTACAACCTATGGCAATAATAATAGCAATAATAATAGTTATAATAATTATTTAATTGTTTTGTTCTATAATGGCTCAAAAATCCCCCCCCCCCCGTTTTATTAAATTTCCCAGTACATTACCTTTCTTGTCCCTATGTTCAATATTGGCCCCCCTAGCCAGGAGTAGTTCGACCAGTTCATCATGGCCCCCTGCTGCCCCCAGGGTGAGTGCAGTGTCATGGTTACTCTCAGTGTGCTGGTCTATCTCAATGGCTGCCTCGTAGGACCCTGAGGGGAGGGCAGAGGGACTGCCCCCAGCCGGGGGAGGGGGAGGAGGAGGGAGGGAGGGAGCAAGGGGACTACTGGAATCACCAGCAGGAAATCTATCTATTAATAATAATAATAATAATAATAATAATAATAATAATAATAATAATAATAATAATAATACAATACTTAATTGATAAAAGTGGTATACCTCCAGCATTATTTGGTTCGGTATCATTATCCATTAAGGAGGAGGAGCTATGAATATCATTATCCATTAACGAGGTGAAGACACTTGATGGAAGCATGTGCTGCAACTGAAAGAAAATAATAATAATAATAATAATAATAATAATAAACAGCATTATCACCATCATCTGGTAAATCTAGTGAGTTTTGATACAATTACAATGTAGTTGTGTGCTAAAAATAAAACCCCACCATTAAGAACCATTATGCAAATGCTCTCTGGCCTGCTTCATTCAACGAAATTCCCTCCAAAGTTACCAGCTGTGGACTAAACTACATGTACAGTTACTTACATGATCGGGGAGCAGGTCAGCTGGTGGTGGTATATCCACTGGGAAATTAGCGTCCATAAAGAATGAGTTAGTGAGTGACTGTACTTCAGTAGAGCCAGGGGTAGTCCCCCCGTCCATCAGCTGAGGACTGTCCACCATTGGCACCAATGAGTGAGATAGCTGCTTGACTCCACCCCCTCCCACGCCCATATTAGGAGTGTATATTGGCTGAAAGAACTGTCCGTGGTTAACGAGTGTGGGCAGAGGTGCTACTCCGGTTGTCCCTAGCGACGGCGGATGTACAGAATGTGGTACATGTACGAGATCAGGAGCAGCGGAAATATCAAACACTGAGGGTGGGCAGGGCTCTTGTAGGTGTGGCTCCGTAGAACTAGAAACTATGGTAGTATTAATCTTTGATGGTGAGCTAGTCGCTGATGATAACTTCTCAGGACTAGCTACAGTAGTGGACCCAATCGCAAACTGAGGCATACGAGAAGGATCGGTGAATGACCACGCCCCTTGAGTGGGCGGGGCCACATTAGTGTCTAGTGGTAACTGGTTATCGGACGATGGTACGCCGGTAGACATGTTAGCTCTGTGTGCCTCGCTCTGTAGCATGAGGTTCTCCAGGGCACTCATGAGGGCCTGTTGCTTCGGATAGTCCAGCTGGGACATGTGATTGCGCAATATCTCGTCAGCTTTCAAGTAGGCGTCCATCCGGTCCTGAGTGATGTAACTTGATGAGTCAGCAAATACCGAGGGGAGGAGGTACCCGCTACCAACAGGAGGTGTGGCTGATTGAACTGACTCGCCTACAGTGTTAGCCACGCCCCCTCCTTCTGATGATGAAAACCGAAATGTTCCTGAGAACGTTTCTCCTAATAAGGACTCTTGAGGTGAGCCAGTGGGGGGAGCTTCAGAGACTGTAGTATGAGAAGTGGGTGTGTCACTAATAGTAGAAGTGGGCGGGGCCACAGAATGAGGAGGAGGGACGTGTTTGAGTCCGACCTGTTGATGAGGTACATGTACATGTACAGTATCGGACTGGTGGGTGGGGCTTGAGCACTTATTACTAGAGGGTGTGGTCATTGACTGGTTATTAATATCGGAGCCACTCCCTCCCTCGTGACATGTACATGTACCGCCAGCGGAACTATGGTGATTATCATTATTCCTGGTTCCGTTGCGAGGGGGCGGGTTACGAGGAATATTTCGAGGTGGGATCTTTAAACGATTTGCTTCCTTTAGTCGCTGGTTGCCATTGGCAACAGCGGAACGCTGGGCTTTCATTTGCTTCCGTAGTGTCTCGGTAAAGCGTGGTTGCCGTAGCAACAGACTAACGACTCCAGTGTGACCTCCACGAGCAGCTTCAATAATCATAGTGGAATTATCCTAACAGATAAATAAATTAAAATAAATAAATAAATAATCACTGTTGGGTCAGAGGGAGTTTAGGAGACTTTTGGTCTCTCATAATTAGCTCTAGGGGTAAGTTAATCTTCCCCAAAACTTATTACTACAATTTTTGTGTAAATCAAACACTGGTCATGCCATCATATTCTCATTCTCATGCCATCATATTCTCATTCCCATACCCCATACCATCATATTTTCATTCCCATACCCCATACCTTGAGCACATGAGATGAATCAGCTCCTTTCCTGAGCAGATACTGGACTACTCCAAGATGGCCTCCGGAGCAGGCCAGGGACAGTACAGTGTGATCATTAGTGCTGGTACATCTATTGATATCAGCACCTAATGGCCAATTAATAATAATAATAATAATTAATAATAATAATAATGATTAATAATAATAATAATAATTAATAATAATAATAATGATTAATAATAATAATAATAATTAATAATAATAATTAATAGCAATAAATAGTACACATTTTGTAAACATTAGTTTTACCTTTAGAAATAAGGTATTGAGCTGTTTCCAAGTGTCCAGCTCGAACTGCTTTCATCAGCGGAGTCCTCCCACCTTCAGACTCATGCTCCTACAGACACAGAGAGGGAGGGAGGGAGGGTGGGTTACATCAGGAGATGTAATAAAAATGAAGAATTCTCTCCTTTTAATTTTTGGTAAAATTTGGCCCGAGACCATGTACTACAAGATGAGGTCCTCTAAAAAGTCTGGTAAGCATAGGAGCTCGTTTTCCTGGTATAGCAAGGCTGCAAAAGTCGTGGCAGCCATTTTGTTTGGGGGCGAATCCTACTTAGTAACGCTACCGCGTTACTAATAGTACAGGGACTTTTACCTGAATTTGGAGTAACTTGAAAAATTTATAAAAAATCTAATTTTAATTGGAATCAGCTCAAACTTTCTACACAACATAAGTACATGTATATGCATCAGGAAATGTAATAAAAATGGAGAATTCTCTCTTAGTCATTTTTGGCAAAATTTGGCCAAAGTCCCTGTACTATAGTATGTACAAGGACTTTGGCCTGATTTTAATATTTTGAATGAGAAATGGTCCAGTTTGAAACCCCTTGTTCTCACCACGTTAGCTCCACAGGAAATGAGTAGATCCACTATCCCTGTGTGTCCATTAGCAGCTGCATATGTCAATGGACTGTCCCCAGTGTTGGTAACAGCTTGAATGTTAGCGTTCTTCCTAATAAGGTACTTCACGATATCAATGTGTCCTTCTTGACACGCCTCCATTAAAGGGGTGGAGGCTCCTAGCTCAATATTAGCACCATGATCTACAAGATACTGAGTGATGTCTAAGAACCCTCCGCAACAAGACAGGGTAAGAGCAGTCTCCTGGGTCTCCTCAGTCTGGGTATTAACATTAGCACCTGGAGAATATCATTAAAGTATTAAATACAATTTCATGTAGTCATGTACAGGCTAGCCTTGCTATAATGGACACTGTGTCTCTGTTATACAGAGGTGTCCTTTATGTGGAGGTTATTTTATACAGTAAGGAATGTAATTGGTACACTAGGTGCTGTCCGTTAAATGGAGGTGTACGCTATAGAGAGTGTCCATTAAGAGAGGCTATACTGTACATTAGAGCTACAGCTACAGGTACAGGTACAGCTACAGGTACAGGTACAGCTACAGGTACGGGTAGATGGTTACCTTGTTCAACAAGCAACTGAACTACATCATCATGACCTTCTCTAGCTGCTTCCATCAATGGAGTATAACTAGGAGAGAAGGAGAGAGGAATAAACGTTTAACAACAACAACAACAACAACAATAATAATAATAATAATAATAATAACAATAATAAGGTTAATGTTGACAAATCCCCAAAATAATTACTGTCTCTATCACTAGTAATTATCAACGTTTGTGTCATTAATTATTTTATTATTTGGAGATCACAACAACTTGAGCCATCACTATAGCAACTCAAAGCCTTCTTTATCTCCAGTGTAGGTAATAATAATAATAATAATAATAATAATAATAATAATAATAATAATAATAATAATAATAATAATAATAATAATAATAATAATTCCTGTCCTACCCCTCATCATTGACCTCCTCTAGGTCAGCTCCTCTTGAGAGAAGGAGTGCTGCCAGTTCGTAGTGTCCACCACAAGCAGCTAAAGTCAATGGAGACTCAAAACTATCAACAGGCATATTGACCTAAGGATAGGAAAGAATTAATAATAAAGAATGTACAGTACATGTACATACACACAGGAATAACAAGAGATGGATACAATGATCAATAAAGAATGTACATGTACATATATACAGGAATTAATAATAGGTGTACATACATAGAGGAATCAATAGAGACTATACATGATGTACATGTTACCCACCTGTGCTCCGTGGTCCAAGAGGAGGCGTGCAACTTCAACATGTCCGTCCATACACGCCTCCATCAGTGCCGTGTGCATCTCATCAGTCTTATGTTCCTGATCAGCACCTGACGGAGTGTCAATAATTATATTAATACATTAATAAAAATAATGAAAGACACATGTATCACCACACTTTAAAACTCCCTCCCTCCCTCTCCCTCTCTCTCTTACCAGCATCCAGTAGGAATTTGACCATGTCCAGGTGTCCCTTGTAACAGGCGAGGGTCAGAGCACTTTCCTTGAACTCGTTAGAATGAGTATTAATATTAGCACCATATTCTAATAACAGCTTGGCCACACCTACCAATTAATAAAAAAGTGTAAATACATACATGCACATGTACATGTATCAAAATTAATTAATTAATTAAGTAGGCGGGGTCACTATTGAATGATAGTATAATTAGCTCACCGACGTGACCACATGAAGCAGCCTCCATTAAGGGGGTGTGGCCATTCTCGTTCTGATGTTCGACTGTCGCCTGGTTCTCAAGGAGCACCTTAACCACGTCTTCAAACCCACCACAGCAGGCATAAGTAAGAGCTGTATTACCAACACTACACAAAACAATCATTAAATAATAATACTAACATGTATCTACATTATTATACAGTAGTGGTAATGTTTTTGGGAATAACTTTAAAGGATTTGTCAATGCCAGTAATAACAGCAATTGAACAATTAGCAGAACTTTAATCTGCAAAACCCACAAAAGTTTTTCTGTACATGAGACAAACCTTGAAGTAGCATTGACCCTAGCTCCGTGTTCTATCAAGAGTTTAATGATGTCAACGTAACCTCCTGAAGCAGCTTCCATTAGCGGAGTAGAGTCACCTATTAAAAGAGGTGTGGTCACCACACCCACCAGAGCCACACTGACCTTTCATTCCTTTGTCCTCCACACTGGCCCTCATCCTAAGGAGGACCTCAGCCAATTCAAAGTAACCGGCAGAACATGCCAGAGACAACAAACTGTCACCATCTTCAGTGGAATCATTAATGCCCTGACCAGCTGAAGGAGGGGGAGGGAGGGGGAGAAGGTGGTATTGTAACAAGAAAAGGACAGAAGACATTATGTAACAATAACGCATTAATAGATGAATATCAATCATTCCACTACATTAAAAATATTCTAAACACACACAGAGTCACACTAACCCCTCCTCCCTCTCTCCCTCCCCCCCTCTCTCTCTCTCCCTTACCTTGTCCCAGTAAGTGTTGAAGTGCCTGTATGTCAGTGAAGTGATGAGACTTGGGGTCTTCACCATCGGCAAGAGATAACAGATCCTTACCCTGTCATGATAATAATAATAATAATTAATAAAATTAAAATGATGATGATGATGATAAAGCAATTTTCAATTAAAAATATAAATAGATATAACTAAATTAATAACTATAATTAATTATGATTAATAATAACTAATTGATTAGCAGCTGCTTCCATTAAGACAATACAATAGACACAAGGAGAGGCTGTGGCTACACATGTACATGTACCAACTAAAGACACTCTCTCACACAAACAGGAGGATAGGTACATGTTCATGTAGACTTGTAAAGATTATTAATAATAGCAGCAGGAGGAGGAGGATATTGAATGTTTATCAAGACAAAAAATAAAAGGACAATACTGATAATACAATACATGTTCATCAAACTCGATACATTAATAATTCACTTACATTCTGAGGATTAGGAGGTTCCTCTCTGTCTCCCTGTCTAGATCTCATCCGATTGAGAGCGAGAGCAGCTTCATCAAGAGCATTACTGACACTAGAGGAGGAGGAGGGGCAGGGGGAGGAGTAGTGGTAACGTATATAATGTAACAATACATGTACAGCGTATGTTAACAAAAAGTGTTTAAAGAAAAACAATAAAAGAAGAAAAGAACACACAATGGAGGATTGACATACAAAATTAAAAGATATCAATAATAATTGTTGGAATAACTACTGACAGTAGTGTATAGGAGGTGGGCAATAATTGGAATACTACATACAATAAACACGCGAGAGAAACAAGTTTTTGTACACAAGACACAGTGTAAGGGAGGGGGAGGGGCAGTGACATATAGACAAATTTAATAATTTTTAAGATAATTTTTAATATATATATAATGTGAACAAAGACAAACAAAAGCTAAAAGTATTAATGAAAAATTAAAACTATTAAATAAATAATGAGACGTAATATGTTGGAACTCACCAGTTGGTTAGTTTCCGTAGTATCTCGGGATCTTGGAAGGTTTGAGTGTCGACGTGAGAGAGTTTAACGCCAGCCACTTCAAGGAACCCTCTCAACCGGTTCTGTGTCTCACTATCCATAGCATGGGCACACTCCTCTCCATCGCCATCCTGTCTCTTTCCTGGAGGATCCACTCCTTTCCCTAATTCATCAGGTCTCTTTGAGTCAGTCAATCCTTTCTTTATCTCGTTCTCAACCGGCGGAGGATTGCTCTGTTCTTCAGGGACGCCTTCACGGGCCGGCTCCTTATTGTCACTGGCCATTAGGCCTATCAATCCTTCCTTTGGTATACACAGTAACTGGGTATGAGAGAGGACAGCTTGTTCCCTTTTACTAGTTGTCCTCCGCCATGTTCACATGAGATCACGTGATGAAACCATGTTGGCTAAAAGAGCCACACCTACCAAAAACCCACGCCCTTTATTACCACCCACGCATAATAAAAATGATGGATTATAGCATAAATAATTTAAAGCTAGCACAAATCATTATTATGATTAAAGAAACTATTAATTTTCATTATTATTATTATTGTTCAAATCTACATCTATTAGTTTAAGTGATGAATCATGCACAAGGTCCAGTCTCTGCTCCTCACCAGTCTTCTGGGTCTGATCCATCCAAACTCACCACTTCCAATGCATTACTGACAGGACCAACAGTAGCAACTGCAGCCACTGCTTTAGCTCCTTCCAATATTCCCATACTAATGAGTCCTTCCTTTTTAGCATGAGGATTCTGAATCACTTGAAGTTCCCTACCATCAACACCAAAGCCGGCTGGCTGAACATGAACCCTCCTATGGAGGCCAATCATTATCCTGCTTGGGTCACTGCTAGACCTGCAAGCCCTACACAAGTAGACAAAAGCATAATAATGAAAACTTATGATTCCTGCATTAGTTCATTTTATATAACTTACATCATTATCATTAGCATTAAGATTACACACACTACAGCACCCACCAGTCCAATCAATGCTACTACCAGTAGCATTAGGGTACTGAGACCATTGCTATGGTCACCAGGATCAGGAGTATTTGTTGGACTGGACTGTATTGAAGAATTTGAAGTAGCCGAAGTTGCAATTGTATTAGAAGTAGTTGTAATGGTATCAGAGGTAGCTGAAGTTGAAGGAGCATTAGAAGTCATATGGGTATTTGCTGAAGTTGTAGAATTAGTTGAAGTTGTAACTGTATCAGAAATAAGTGAGGCTGTAGCAGCATTAGAAGCAGTTGAAGTTGTAATTGTATTAGAAGCAGTTAAAGCTGTAGCAGCATTAGAAGTAACTGAAGTTGTAGCGGCATGAGAAGTAACTGTAGCTGTAGCAGCATTAGAAGTAACTGAAGTTGTAGCAGCATCAGAAGTAACTGTAGCTGTAGCAGCATTAGAAGTAACTGTAGCTGTAGCAGCATTAGAAGTAACTGAAGTTGTAGCGGCATTAGAAGTAACTGTAGTTGTAGCCACATTAGAAGTAACTGCAGCTGTAGCAGCATTAGAAGTAATTGAAGTTGTAATCGTATTAGAAGCAGTTAAAGCTGTAGCGGCATTAGAAGTAACTGTAGCTGTAGCAGCATTAGAAGTAACTGCAGCTGTAGCAGCATTAGAAGTAACTGAAGTTGTAGCAGCATTAGAAGTAACTGTAGCTGTAGCAGCATTAGAAGTAACTGCAGCTGTAGCAGCATTAGAAGTAACTGCAACTGTAGCAGCATCAGAAGTAACTGAAGTTGTAGCGGCATTAGAAGTAACTGTAGCTGTAGCAGCATTAGAAGTAACTGAAGTTGTAGCAGCATTAGAAGTAACTGTAGCTGTAGCTGCATTAGAAGTAACTGTAGCTGTAGCAACATTAGAAGTAACTGAAGTTGTAGCAGCATTAGAAGTAACTGCAGCTGTAGCAGCATTAGAAGTAACTGAAGTTGCAGAGGTAGTAATACTATAATCATTGATACTAGTTGAATTATCTGTGTTTCCAAATAAAATAGAAATAAGTTAAAAAGTACATAGACTGAAATCCTCACCAATGCATTTCTCATCTCCTTTGAATAGACCAGCAGGACAAGCCCCACATGTCACACCAGACAATGGACTCACATTATCAGTGCAGGAGACTCCATCATAACATGAACAATCATCACATCCATTAGCATCAGACTGGCAATACTCACCATCCCACACTACACACCAATTTAAATAGAATTAGTCATTGATATTATACTGTTACCATCTGTTGAGCAATCACATGGTAAGAGTATCGTTGATGAGGTTAGATCCTTGATATGTTCATTTGAACAGCTACCACCATTGAGACAGTAACATATCTGAACCTATAGAGTGATTACAATGTCAAACAGCTCTATAGTACTCCTGGCTTACTTTTACTTCTAATATGGAGGCTGCATTGCTTGAGTCTGTAGCTATAAAAGTAATAGAGAAATTGGTTGTATTGCTGGGTCCCCATTCAAAAGAATACTCCCATTTCTCTACTGTAGGACTATTAGCTGAACGGAAGTCAGAACCAGTACTTAATTTGTTCAATTGTCCAATTTGATCAGAATTTGTGCCTGCTAGTACAACAGTGAAGGAGCCAGTATCTGTGACACTGAAATTATAACTTAGTTTGGCTCCAGAAGCAGCCACGAAGCTAGCAACTGGATCACCAGTAATATTTGGAGGAAAATTAGCTAAAAAGGATTGATAATTATTTTAAAGCAATCAAAAACTGCTTACTCAGTTTTGCCAGATCTGCAATGTTTAAATTATGGACCCGTAAGCTAGTGAGGCCTAGTGAGATTGATCCTGTCAACACAGCATCATATGTACAAGCTGTGTCATAACCACACTGTACAAGAGCTTTTTCATTGGCACTAGAAGTAGCTTCAGAAACCATGACTGGAACAAAGTTTCGAATTGGAGTTGGATTAGGATCAATGAAGTATGAATCAGAAGTTGATTCAACTCTCCCTAAATGAGATAAATCAATTATTTGTACTAAAAATTGTCTTACAATCTTCAGCAAAATAATATACATATTTCTCTTGAGTAGGATCTATGACATCTCTATTATTCATTACTAAATCGTCACTTGAATTCCCATTATAATAACCAAGCATAGTAAATGCATTAGACTTGTATTTGGTAGGTACAGACACTCTGAAATGCAGTACACCTGATGTTAAACTGAGACTGGCCCATATGTCACAGGCAAATGCTATTAGCAATGTATCTGTGGTTTCTCTTGATATCACAAAAGTCTTGTCAGGATCATAAAGGAATGAACCAACATTGTTAAAAGTTGAAGTAATGTTTCTCCCTTGATTGTAGTAAGTTCTGATTCCCCAACTTGTTGCCTGCAAGTATATTATACAAAGAAAGTAATTTTCATTTATTATTATTATCCTAATCATAACTAACGTTAAATTCAATTGTATGTGTCCCATTACGAAAGGCAATTGAAGTAAACTGTGTAGCTTTAGCATTGGCTACACTAGAAAGCCCAGTATCAGTAACCAGTGATGTCCTTCCTTGAACATTGAATGTTTTATCTCTTAGTTTTAAGAGATAAAATTCACCAAGATTATTAAAAGTGTAGTTTGTACCGTCAAATGTCATCATATGTGGGTCACCATAACCCCACGCTGTCATTAATAATAATAATATGAATTAATAATAACTTGATAAATCACCATTTTTTTCTTACCCCAGCTTGATGGAGTGTATCCAGTACAATCATTAGGTGGTCTTCTTGCATAATAAAGTGAGCAGAGGCCTACTCCATCAGACTCAGAGCAGCAGATACTACGAAAGTATTCATCAGATCCAGTATCAGTGACATTGGCAGCATTCTCATGGTAGACTATCATGTTAGTCCCATATTGATCTGTTGATTGAGCTGTCTTTAATGCACCCCATCCTGTAGAGCTGAGAGAGAGGGAGGGTGTTATACAATAAAAATGCTCATCATTGGCACCATTTATCACATTAATTAACATACTACTGATGATTAAAATTAAATTGGTGGAAATTTTTTGCACCTGCCAATCAAGGACCTGATGTCTATATTGCACCAATTGTCAAGTCTAATTAACATGCAGTCATTTTTCATTGTATTCTAAAGACCACGTTACAGCAACAATGCTTCTTACTCTGTTGAATAGCAGCATCTTTGTGTTGCATTAGTAGATGATGGAAACTTGTAATCATAACAGTTTGATCCAGTTTTGATCTCTCTCCACATCCCGTCCAGTTGAGCCTGTTGTCCTGAGCAAGGACAAGGAGGCAGACCCTGTGCCTGTGAAGCTAAAACGTCATTACTTCCATACTTAGCAATATCTTCATAATAATAATTGCTACATTCTTGATACTTGGTTTGATATGAATTAGAGAAACGGAGTGAGCTTAGCTGGTAGAGGATGTTATGAAACTCTGAGCCAGGCATATTAACACAGCCTACTCCAGTAACATTACTGGTATTGTAGTTATTGTACAGAGACCCTCCTCCAGCATTTGTACCTATAATTTATGCAATTGTGAAGATTTGAATTAATATAATTATAATCATACCAATTATTGCATTTTTCATGTATCCGGACCACTGGATATCATTACATCTGTATGTGAAGAGTGCATAAGATCTGACATGATCTGTGATTATAATGGCTTGATAACTGTTCACCTTTTGATAGTACAATAAAGCAATATAATTACAAATTGCTACATGTCCCTCACCTTGTTAGCAAATGATTGAATGTCACTGTTCAGTTGTCCAAGAAAGCTAGCACCATGAGGAAAAGGATGAACATTCCTCCATTGTGCCACCATCAACCAATATCCATTGTAACTTGTTCCAGTCAATTTATGAATGATATCAGAGACAGTCCTCATCAAACGTGAGCTGCTGATGTCATCATGAACCTCATAGCAGACATTGCCAGTACTTCTAATGTCAGAGTCACTCCAGTAAGGTGCTATGATAAAGCCATTCTCTACATTAGTCAAGTTAGTTGGGAATGGTGAAGCATCTCCACATTGTATTGGCTTCTCAAATGAAATGACACCATTAGCAGACACCTATCGAAATTATCTATTTCACACTTAATGGTAGCAGATAATTAGTATGGCTTAACTGTAGAACTCATTAATTTTTATGCTATAGCTGCACAAAATTTAGCATTATTGAATGAAAAAACTACATAATTATTATATATATGCAAAAGGACTGGATGCGTCATGCAGGCTAAAACCGGCTGATCAGTAAGCGATTGAAGTGATTTTCTAGTCACTCACATAAGCTTTATGCTGCACACTGCTACCAATAGGGAAACCAGTTGGTATACGAATAGCATGAGAGCTGCTCCTTAGCTTCCTCTCCAAACACTTACTGCTGACTCCTGCAGTAGACCCCAGGGTAGCATAAGTTGTGTAAGGTCCTTCTCCAATCATTGATCCATTGACTATGAACAGTGAATAGTTATTAATGATATAATGGAGGGAATGAGGCTCACTTGGAGCTGGTAAAAGGAGACAAAGTATTGCAATGAAAAGGGAGAGAGAGGTCTTGCAGTTGATCTTCATCTTAAAATTCTTATTAGTCTTTGAGTAAAATTCATGGCTTTCCATTCAAATATAGATTTATACGGTACCACCCACGCAAAGTTTAAATTATAATTATTATTCATTATTAAAGATTAAAGTATTATTATTATATTATTTATTATTGTTCAAGTCTACATCTATTAGTTTAAGTGATGAATCATGCACAAGGTCCAGTCTCTGCTCCTCACCAGTCTTCTGGGTCTGATCCATCCAAACTCACCACTTCCAATGCATTACTGACAGTGGCAACAGTAGCAACTGCAGTCATTGCTTTAGCTCCTTCCAATATTCCCATACTAATGAGCCCTCTTTTAGCATGAGGATTCTGAATCACTTGAAGTTCCCTACCATTAACACCAAAGCCGGCTGGTTGAACATGAACCCTCCTATGGAGACCAATCATTATCCTGTTTGGGCCTCTATTAGACCTGCAGACACTGCATATAATGGACAAAAGGTAAAATATTACAGTATACATTCAATAGCTTACATTATCAGTAGGAAGAGTACTATACATATAACAATAGCAACTAGTACAATCAGTATCAGTAGAAGCAGTATCAACATATTGGGGTGACTTTTTCCTGGATCAGGGATAGTCGTTGTAGTAGGAGGAACATTAGAAGTTGTAATTGCATATGAAGCAGTAGTAGTAGAGCTAGAAACAGTATTAGTACCTATTATAAACACATTTGACATTGCTGGATTGATAGTGCAAGGAGAGCTTTAGGAGTTACTTGTGCAGCTAGCAAATGAATTTGAAATGCTGCTACATTGATAGCCTCCATCATAAAGGGGACAAATGTTATTATTGCAGTCTATAGTTGGAGTCAATGAACTCAAAAAACAATCATCTTTTGCTGTATAAGAAGACAGAATGTGCTATTTCTGTATTATACTTTTTCTTACCAGCACAAATCCCATTAGTAACTATGCTACCTGAAGGACAATTACAATCAGCATCTGTAAAAACATTAATACAAGATCCTCCAGTACAATCATAAACTGATGATTCACATGTAGTAGCATCTAGTAGAAGTTGTATTGATGTAATCACAGGCACATCAGGTTTACTCACTGGATGTCATACTTGATACCATAAGCTTGTATCCTCCAGTACAGGAATATTGTGTTGATCCATTTATAAGTGAGAGCTTATTGACTTTATCCAAGCGACTACTGCACATGTATGTAACTAATAATGATAATAAGTTGCTGTCTGAGACAATAAAAGGCTTACCATTGGAACTACTGCTGTCAATACTATTCCCATTGTTGTTGTTGTTGTTGTTATTAGTATTATTATTATTATTATTATTATCATCATCATCATCATTATTACTTGTTGAGTTATCTATATAAAAAAGAAATAAGTTAAAAAGTACATAGACTGAACTCCTCACCAATGCATCTCTCATCTCCTTTGAATAGACCAGCAGGACAAGCCCCACATGTCACACCAGACAATGGACTCACATTATCAGTGCAGGAGACTCCATCATAACATGAACAATCATCACATCCATTAGCATCAGACTGGCAATACTCACCATCCCACACTACACACCAATTTAAATAGAATTAGTCATTGATATTATACTGTTACCATCTGTTGAGCAATCACATGGTAAGAGTATCGTTGATGAAGTTAGATCCTTGATATGTTCATCTGAACAGCTACCACCATTGAGACAGTAACATAATTGAACCTACAGCAAATACAATGTCAAACAACACTAGTATTTAATATAGTTCACTGGCTTACTTTTACTTCTAATATGGAGGCTGCATGGCTTGAGTCTGTAGCTATAAAAGTAACAGAGAAATTGGTTGTATTACTGGGTCCCCATTCAAAAGAATACTCCCATTTCTCTACTGTAGTACCATTGACTGAACCAGTACTTAATTTGTTCAATTGTCCAACATGATCAGAGTTTGTGATGTTTGCTAGTACAACAGTGAAGGAGCCAGTGTCTGTGACACTGAAATTATAACTTAGTTTGGCTCCAGAAGCAGCTACGAAGCTAGCAACTGGATCACCAGTAATATTTGGAGGAAAATTAGCTGAAAAGATTAATAATTATTGTAAAGCAACCAAAAAATGCTTACTCAGTTTTGCCAGATCTGCAATGTTTAAACTATGAACCCGTAAACTAGTGAGGCCTAGTGAGATTGATCCTGTCAGCACTGCATCATATGTACAAGCTGTGTCATAACCACACTGTACAAGAGCTTCTTGACCTGCACTAGAAATAGCATTTGAGACCATGACTGGAACAAAGTTTTGAATTGGAGTTGGATTAGGATCAATGAAGTATGAATCAGAATCTGATTCAACTCTCCCTACATGAGATAAATCAAATATTTGTACTAAAAACTGTCTTACAATCTTCAGCGAAGTAATATACATTATTGTCATGAGTAGGATTCACAATACGTCCATTCTTCCTCACTAAATCAACATTTGGATTCCCATTATAATAACCAAGCAAAGAAAATGTATTTGACTTGTATTTGGTAGGTACAGACACTCTGAAATGCAGTACACCTGATGTTATGCTCAGACTGGCCCATATGTCACAGGCAAATGCTATTAGCAATGTATCTGTGGTTTCTCTTGATATCACAAAAGTCTTGTCAGGATAAAGGAAAGAACCAACATTGTAAAGAGCTGAAGTAATGTTTCTCCCTTGATTGTAGTAAGTTCTGATTCCTCCACTTGTTGCCTGCAAGTATACAGACAAGGCATCATATGAATATCATTATCTAAAAACTAACGTTAAATTCAATTGTATGTGCTCCATTACGAAAGGCAATTGAAGTAAACTGTGTGGCATTAGCATTGGCTACACTAGAGAGTCCAGTATCAGTAACTAATGATGTCCTTCCTTGAATAATTAATGACCTATCTCTTAGTTTTAAGAGATAAAATTCACCAAGATTATTAAAAGTGTAGTTTGTACCATCAAATGTCATCATATGTGGATCACCATAACCCCAGCCTATTAATAGTAACAATGTTAAATCACAGATAAGTGTTTTTTCTTCAGTACCCCAGCTTGATGGAGTGTATCCAGTACAATCATTAGGTGGTCTTCTTGCATAATAAAGTGAACAGAGGCCTACTCCATTAGAGCAGCAGATACTACGAAAGTATTCATCAGATCCAGTATCAGTGACATTGGCAGCATTCTCATGGTAGACTATCATGTTAGTCCCATATTGATCTGTTGATTGAGCTGTCTTTAATGCACCCCATCCTGTAGAGCTGAGAGAGAGAGGGAGAGAGAGAGAGATCATTACAATAAGGATACTGATCATTGGTACCATTTATCACATTAATTAACATACTACTGATGATCAAAATTAATTTGGTGGAAATTTTTTGCACCTGCCAATAAAGGACCTGATGTCTATATTGCGCCAATTGTCAAGTCTAATTAACATGCAGTCATTTTTCATTGTATTCTAAAGACCACGTTACAGCAACAATGCTTCTTACTCTGTTGAATAGCAGCATCTTTGTGTTGCATTAGTAGATGATGGAAACTTGTAATTGTAACAGTTTAATCCAGTTTTGATCTCTCTCCACATCCCGTCCAGTTGAGCCTGCTGTCCTGAGCAAGGACAAGGAGGCAGACCCTGTGCCTGTGAAGCTAAAACGTCATTACTTCCATACTTAGCAATATCTTCATAATAATAATTGCTACATTCTTGATACTTGGTTTGATTGGAGCTAGAAAAACCAGGTGAGCTTAACTGGTAGACAATAGAATAAAATTCTGAGTCAGGCATATTGATACAGACTATTTCCTTAAAATTACTGACATTGTAATTATTGTACTGAGACCCTCCTCCAGTATTTGTGCCTATATAAATTTATGTAATAGAATTAATATAATTATAATTATACCAATTATTGCATTTTTCATGTATCCATACCACTGGAGATCATTACATCTGTATGTGAAGAGTGCATAAGATCTGACGTGATCTGTGATTATAATGGCTTGATAACTGTTCACCTTTTGATGGCACAATAAACCAATTGAAATAATCATCAAATTGCTACATGTCCCTCACCTTATTAGCAAATGATTGAATGTCACTGTTCAGTTGTCCAAGAAAGCTAGCACCATGAGGAAAAGGATGAACATTCCTCCATTGTGCCACCATCAACCAATATCCATTGTAACTTGTTCCAGTCAATTTATGAACGATATCAGAGACAGTCCTCATCAAAGGTGAGCTATTGATGTCATCATGAACCTCATAGCAGACACTGCCAGTACTTCTAATGTCAGAGTCACTCCAGTAAGGTGCTACGATAAAGCCATTCTCTACATTAGTCAAGTTAGTTGGGAATGGTGAAGCATCTCCGCATTTTATTGGCTTCTCAAATGAAATGACACCATTAGCAGACACCTATGATAATAATAATTTGTGCATTGTATTCCATTTAGATTGATAATAATGGATAATGTTTGCATAGTGTATGCAATTGATAATAATTTTAAATTTTCTTTAATTGTCACTCACATAAGCTTTATGCTGGACACTGCTACCAATAGGGAAACCAGTTGGTATACGAATAGTATGAGAGCTGCTCCTTAGCTTCCTCTCCAAACACTTACTGCTGACTCCTGCAGTAGACCCCAGGGTAGCATAAGTTGTGTAAGGTCCTTCTCCAATCATTGATCCATTGACTATGAACAGTGAATAATTATTAATGATATAATGGAGGGAATGAGGCTCACTTGGAGCTGGTAAAAGGAGCCAAAGTATTGCAATGAAAAGGGAGAGGGAGGTCTTGCAGTTAATCTTCATCTTGGTCTTTGAGGAAAATATAAAATTTCTCGACTTTGCATTCAAATTTAAATGGTCAATCGATAAATTTTAAAATAATAGGCGTGGCTCATTCAGACATTCACACTTGTAGGTAAACAAAATGGCGGGGAGAAAAATTGGACAAAAAGTGGTCGATTGGGCCAAGATAACTGACGTTGTGTCTGCTGAGACTAAAGTTCCTATCCTAGCCTTGAAGGGAAGGTTTGAAGCCAGACAGGCGAGACTAAATTCTTACCCAGACCACCTCCAACCCATTGACTGGTCTCATTACAAGGACGCCATTAAGAAACCAGGCCTGGTTGATGACTTTCAAAAGCAATACTCCGCCCTCAAAGTCCCTTATCCTCCGGATACCTTCTCCGAGGAATTAACTAAGAAATTGGAAAGGATTGAGAAGAGGTCTCTGGAGGCCATTAAGAATGCGAAAGAGACTTCAGAGCAGCTCACGAAAGAACTTGAAGCCATCAAAGCTCAAAAGCCGCTCGAAGAAATGACCGTTGATGAATACCTTGCGGACAAACCTGAGCTGAAGAAAAAGATCGATGAAGACACGTATAATTACAACTGGTACCTACCAAAGCCGTAGTAATATGACGACAATAAACATAATAAACAATTAAACATTAGACTGAGTTGTTGTTAGGCTGATATTAATAAAAAGAGTATTGTCATTGAATTAGTCAATTATACTAGTAAGGTGGTGTCACAGTATTCTTGGGGTCCATTTTCAGAAGATTATAATTCTGTCTGTCTCCATAAGTGCATGAATAATTAATGAGCTGTTTCTAGTTATTAATTTTCTTAATTAACCAGCCCCTCCCCCAGCACATGGTCATCATGTCTTCCAAGAGAGGGAAGAGAGCTGCTATTGAAATAACTCCGTCTCCTTCTAAAGTGAGCAAAGGCTCAACCAACGAGTCTGTATCAGCTGCTAAGAAGAAAGAAGTTACCGCCAATGGATCACTGACCAATGGTACTACAACACCCACTAACGGAAGCCATTTTGACACTTGGTGCATGAAAATCAATTGGAATTTGCAGGGTCACTCATTCGCCAAAATAAAACTCAATATTTTGAACCTTTATGCACATGCTTCAAAATTAGGCCAAAATTGTACATGATTTTGAGTGAAATTTTGCCAAAATTGAAAAGTAGAAAATTTTCGATTTTTATGACATTTCTTAATGCATATACAACATGTACTTATGTTGCGTAAAAAGTTTGAACTGAATTAAAATTAGATTTTTAGTTGCTGGTACATAACCTGCCCTAAACCCACAATAGGTATTGATAAAGTAGGTGGAGCAGTGAAGAGGATATTTGATACACTGGAGTATGGCCCCGCCCCCGAGTCACCTGCCGTAGTCAATGCATGGCTGGACGATCATGGGCGGAGCTTTGGTCACTTTATTAACGGGACCTGGGTGAAACCTCCTGGCAGGAAACTGTATGACTCATTCAACCCAGCAAATGGAGAGAAAATAGCATCAACTATACAAGGTATGATTTAATTATTATTAATTAACTATCATTAATTGATTATAATTATTATTAATTATTAATCCAGGGACTCAGGAAGATGTAGACGTTGCTGTGAAAGCTGCCAGAGATGCTTACAATCAATGGAGTGCATTACCGTGTCATGTAAGGGCCAGGCACATGTACTCTATAGCGAGGCATGTACAGAAGCACGCCCGACTCCTCTCGGTCCTCGAGAGTATGGATAATGGTAAATCCATCAGGGAGAGCAGGGACTGTGATATACCACTAGTGGCCCGACACTTCTACCATCATGCTGGTAAGGGAGGGAGGAAGAGTTGGAGTCATTATTATAAATATGTCTTTAAAGGTTGGGCTCAGCTAATGGAGGATGAGATGAAAGGTTGGACTTCACTTGGTGTAGTGGCAGCCATTGTACCTTGGAACTTTCCACTGATGCTGCTAGCTTGGAAAGTAAATAATAATAATAATAATAATTATTATTATTATTATTATTAATACATAGGTGTGTCCTGCCCTAGCTATGGGTAATACAGTGGTACTGAAACCCGCTTCCTATACCAGACTGACTGCCCTCATGCTAGCCGAGATATGCACCGAGGCCGGACTCCCCCCGGGGGTTTTTAATGTAGTGACAGGACCCGGATCATTCGGATCAATGCTGGCCACTCATCCTGACGTTGATAAGGTTGGGTTTACTGGCTCAACTCAAGTAAGTACCGGAAGTGAACTGTAGGATAAGTTGAAGTGTTGAAATTTGACAAAGTTAACCTGAAGGAGTTTTGGTGGTGTTGACCATATGCAGGTGCTGCTGTTACAGAGACGTATCAAATTGAAATTGGTGACTAAAGCTTTGGCAAATTGACCTTAATTCACCAAAACTTTACTCCACCAATCAAGCTCTCTAGCTACCTGTACACATATACAGTGTATTGTCTTAGTAGATTTGCAATATTTCTCTTTCATTTCAAGGTTGGCCAGATATTGCGACGAGCTACAGCTGGTACTGGAATCAAACTGAGCCTTGAGTTAGGAGGGAAGAGTCCGTTCGTGGTGTATAACACTGCTGATATTGATGCAGCTGTAGAGGGAGTGGTGGACGCCATCTTCTTCAATCAAGGACAAGTGAGAACTTATTATTATTATACATGAATACATAAATAAGAAATATATGAATATGAGAGATGATTGTAATTATACTGCATGAATTATCACTGACTTTATAAGCGTTTACCAATCACTCCTTAGATCAATACTAAACACATGTACAGTACATGACTACGTATATATACATTGTTCCATGTCTTGTAGGTGTGCAGTGCTGGTTCCAGGCTCCTAGTCCAGGAGGATGTTGCTGATAAGATGGTGACTAAGATAAAGGAGAGGATGAGTCACCTGAGGTTAGGGGACTCACTGGATAAGTGTATTGATATGGGACCAATAGTGGATGAGTCACAGAGGAAGAGCATTGAGGACTTTGTACTGAAAGCAAAGGAAGAAGGGGCTGAAGTAATAAATAATAATAACAATAATAATAATAATAATAATAATAATAATAATAATAATAATAATAATAATAATAATAATCAAGAAGATGTACGGGCAATATGTAAGAGAACTGGGTGAGTATGCTGATGAGGGGAAGACATGGAAGTGGCTAAGTAAATGTGATCTTAAGCCAGAGACTGAAGCTCTAATCTGTGCAGCTCAAGAGCAAGCCATTAGAACGAACTATATTAAGTGTAATATTGATAAGTCGGCTGCCTCACCATTGTGTAGATTGTGTCATGAAAAAGGAGAGAGTATTGGTCATGTAGTGAGTGAATGCAAGAAGTTAGCTCAGTTGGAATACAAGAAGAGACATGACAATGTAGCTAGGTATATCCATTGGGAGTTGCTGGGTCGTTTTTCTATTGAGAGAAGTAAGAG